GGACAATAGTTTTTATGAACCTTTTCACACTACTGCTTTTAACTGCTTTCAGCAGCATTTTATAGTGCTCTTCTAATTTTTTGTGGGCCATTTTATTACTGTGAGACACCCTGGATTTCCTTTGGGGAGAAAGCATTGGTTGTAAATTTGAAATAATACGTAAAATAACCTTGACACCTGACAGAACTGAATGCAGAAATCCAACTAGCAAGCCAGCTGGGCACCATGAGAAGGTGTCATTTTATAGCACTCCCCTCTCCCTTGGACCTCAGTTGTATTAGCAGCATATAAGTGCCAGTGTGGTGTTTCTGGACTACAACTCCCACCATCCCTGATCACTGGCTATGCTATCCAGAAACATCTGAAGGGCCGCAGGTTGTGCACCCCTGGATCAGAGTGTTGGGCTGTCACCTGTGAGACCACAGTTCAAATCCCCACTTGGCCATGGAACCTCGATGATCTTGGGCCAGGCCTACTTCACAGGGTTGTTTGTAAGGGTAAAATGGGGGGCGATGAGAGAGAGAACCATGTACGACAGCTTGAGATCGTTGGACTTAAGGTGAAAATGTAATCAACAAACATTGAAAGCTAATTCTGAATGCATAAGGTATAAAAAGTGTTGGCGATCCTTAGTAACTGGAGGATTTAGCCAACTGACTAGGAAGGGAAATTGTTGGCACTCCTGAGCTTTGGAAATTTTGTTCTCCAGCAATTTGGAATGAGGATCCTGCTGTGCCTGTTGATGCCTCCCCTTTCTGCTGGGGAGCCACCATACTCTGGCACCCTGATAACATTTTTGAAGGCGGGTGGGGTTCTTAGCAAATATAACCTTTTAAAAAACATTTCCCCATCTTAATTGTGCTGCTGTTCCTCCTCAGGAGCCTCAGACAGCCCAGCCTGCGATGCAGCAGTCGCAGTTCACGCCTTGCCAGTACGAGATGAAGCAGTTCCTGGAGTGCGCCCAGAACCAGGCCGACTTGAAGCTGTGCGAGGGGTTTAGCGAGGTGCTGAAGCAATGCCGGTTTGCAAATGGTGCGTAGCTCCTTTGGCCTCCCCGGAGGTCTGAGCAAATGTTGGATGCTGCAATTGATCAGGGCTGAGGGGTCTCGAGCCAGTGTAACACTTTTGAGGAGGTGCTTCTGGTTCTTCCAGACCCTGCCAGGTAAACCTTAAGCCGGTTGAGGGAGAGAGAACAAGGAGCTGTACCAGTCAGTATAGAGTAAATGAGAGAGTAATACAAAACTGACTTGCATAATTGTGTGCTATTTTAGTCCTGGGGGCAGGGAGTCCTTTGTACATGTTTTAGTTAGCTGCTAATATACTTTGCAGTAAAAGTATATACTCCAATTCCTGGCAGAATATGTGGCCTCTGAATAGGCGCTGTGATTTCTTTGAACCAAAGTGGGATCCCAGACAGGCTGCGTTCTCCCAATCACACTGAAGCTGTTTTGACACGGGGTTGTATTCAGTGCCACCTCCTCTCCTGCCCTAAGATTCTGCTGGGGACGGTTTGAGGGAGCCTCACACAGATTATGGGGGAGGGTTGTTGCTCCACAGTCTTGGATTAGGTCCTCTTTATTGGATGCATTGTACCCAGGTGAAATATTGGTGCATAGACTCAACTTTATTTATACCCTGTATCAGCCACAAAGGCAAACAAGACAGTTCCTGCACACTTGCTTAATGGTCTAAAAATCACAGCACAAAAGGAAAAATGGATGAGGAGGAAAGAAGGAGGGGGAGCCCAGCTCAGCCACTGATTTTTGAAGTTAAAAGGCGGTGCTTATCATGAACTAGCTGTTGTCAAAGCGGTTCAGGGACAGGAAGAGTTCAGTGGAACCAGTTTTTCCAGCAGGGCTGATGGAATGAGACCTGCCTCCCACCTCTCCCTCTGTGGCAGTTTCTCATTAATGGTTGATGCCAGATCAGTTGAAGGAGCTGGTTTTCCAGTTTGTTTGCTTTCAGAGCACCAGACTCTGAGGTGTGGGGAACAGACACTTCCTATAATCTGAAATGTGTGCCCTCCTGATGTTTTAGGACCTAGCTTCTATTAGCAGCGCATCTGGAAGGTGCTGGGTTAGCAAAGGCTGATCTACAAATAAGGCCACACCAGTATATTTGCGTTAGATGGGTTCCATCCTGGGCCCCTTTTCTGATATGCAGGTTCTGTACTGAAATCCATGAACTCTCCTACCTACTTCACCACCACCACCATGCCGGAAAATAGAATAATACTGCTCTGAAGCTCCATTTCAGCAAGGTGGATTGTGTTTAGGTTCTTGTGGAAGCCAGGGGTCTGCTGGACACAGCAAGACCTCTTCTGAATATATGGCTTTTATGTGTGTCTTGATAGTAATCAGTTTCCTTTCCTCTTTTTCTCTTTCAAATACACAGGTTTAGCCTAACGAGCTCTTCGAGATGAATCTCATCCCCCTCGTTGAATGACATGTCGCTAGTGAAACTCTTTCTTCTTTTAACATCTTAAAAGCTGCCTGGCATTCCTTCATGTGTGGCCACTTGTCCGTCTCCCGAGGAAGGAAACCTGGAGTGCTTTTTACAGCCGGAAGGATGCTTCTGGCAAGAGAGTGTGGGGCATCTGTTGCGTGGGGAGAGATAAGACCCACAGAATGCTAGGATTGTGATCGTCCCCTGCTTGCATTTACCAGTATGCGCCTCTGAATAAAAGTCAATTTCTCTCTAGAAAACATGTTTTGAAGTGCCTGTTCTGTAGCTCACATCATGGATCTCTGATGAGTATGGCTGAGCTGGGAAACAGAAGGTGGTAGGATCTCTGGCAGTCTCCATTTTCCCTCTGTATGACGAATAGCATGCTTTCCCCAGTGCTGTTCAGTGTCACGGTAGAATATAAGCATAGCATTGTAGAGTTGGAAGGGATCATCCAGCCCAGCCCTCTGCAATACAGAAAGCAGAGTATTGCTGCGTGGGAATCCTAATTCTGCAGCTCAAACAAATTGCTGAAAGAAAGCCATGCCAATCCACTGCAGCTGAGTGTCTTGGTGCCAGCACTGTGCCAAGTGGTGGAGAATGTGTCTCAGTGTAAGAACTGCTACGGGGTGTCTTCTCCACGAGGGGGAGCTTCCTGCCTGGTTTATATAGAGCCCTGATCTCCCAGGTCTCTCAGTTATGCAGAAAGCCTTCATGCTTGAAGGAGGAGTTCTACTCCAGAATCTGTATAGAGGTGAGAGAGGAGGTAAACATTGGGGTGGAGAAGCCAAATATATCTCCCCTTTCTGCACACTTGCCCTCTACATGTGCAGATGCCTGATTTGAAGATGGAAGCAAGTGCAAATTAAAGTGGGCATCCTTCAAAAAAGGAACAGCAGGCTATGAAAATGAAATAAATCTCTGCCTGTGAGCCGAGGTCGGGCCTGTTCTGCTCTGGGCTGCAGCCAGGGTTATGTTACTGCCATGAATGGCTGTTTGCAGGCTGCAATGGTGATACATGGTTGGCTGAGCACAGTGCAGTTTTAAAAGGGTGTCTGCCCAGCAGTGCCCAGGACTAGCCATGAACTACCTTACAACATGATACCAGCTGCCCGGGCACAACCCCTCTCTACATGCTTGTTATGTATGAGCCTCCTTAATAGGCAAATTCCACATGGCTATTTCCGGTCATTGTTTCAGGGAGTGAGCACTACAGAAATAGATACAGCCATATTGTTCCTGCAAGGCTGCCTTGACACCAGTGGCTACACCGTGTAGAATATGCTGCAACTGAAAGACTTGTGGTTCCCAAACTTTCAAGCCACTGCCCCCTTGTGCAGTGTCCCCTACCCTATAAAAAGCATGATTTAGAATAGCTGTTTGCATAACCCGCCAAAGCAGATAATGATAAAAATCAAAACAGCAGTGACTGCACCTTTATTAAGTTCTAAGTCAATAACATGGATGAACTGGATCCAGTGATGCTAACTTTTTGAAGTCTGATACAGTAGTCGCTTACACCTCTATTGCCACCACACACACCCTGCCCCACACTTGCCTCTTAGCACCCCCAGGTAATTCCACTGCCCCCTTTGGAAGCTACATAAGCTAGGCATTCCTAATAATTGCTAGTAAAGACTGAAGGGAGACATTTCTGCATCTCTCGCCCAGAAGTGTGGAGGACCATGAAATAACAAAATTTGGCTCTGCACCACCTTGTGGGGTTCTTACTGCTACATGTAGCTTGTCATGTGCCTGGATGATGACCTGGATGCCACCTGGCAGAAGAAAGACAAGATTGAAATATGCAAAAAGAAAAACTAGACGAGTCAATAAGATGTGTGTATTGGTTTGAATGTGGTTTGGGTCCAGTTTTGTTTTCTTCAGAAGTCATTCTGAATGTGAGTCCCTATGGGTCCCAGATTTGATCACTGGCCATCTCAGTGTGCGTCGCCCAACTTATCTTTGTGTGCCAGATTCCCTCCTTGGGGTGACCCTCTAGGAACGTGAGAAAAGCCTTCCCAATGGCCCGTCCAGTCCAGCATCTTGTTCTCACAGTGGCCAACCAGGTGCCTGCAGAAAACCCACTAGCAGGATCCAAGCACGCAAACTCTGCTGTGGTTTCCAGCAATTTGGTATTCTGAATGGAGGCAGAGCATAGCTAACGTGGCTAAGTAGCCACTGAGAGCTGTATCCTCCATGGATTTGTCTAATCCCCTCTTAAAGTTTGGGGCCATTGCTGCCTCCTGTGGGAGCAAGTACCATAGTTTAGCTATGCTCTGCATTAACTTTCATTTATGAAATACTCAGCTTCATTAAATGCCCTTTGAGTTCTAGTCTTATGAGAGACGAAGAAAAACTTTTCTCGACCCACTTTCTCAATGCCATGTGTAACTTTACACACCTCTATCATGTCTCCTCTAAACTAAAAAAGTCCCAGTGTTGCAAAATCTTCTAGGGGACCCACGTCATCCCCATGATCATTCAAGTTGCCCTTTCCTGAGCCTTTTCCAACTCTACAGTATCCTTTTAGAGGTGAGGATTTGACCACCCTGTTCAGTGTCACTCCAGCAACTCAGAGCGTTGTTGCCTCTGCTGAGCTGCTCCTTCACCTCAAAGCAGGGTCACTCCTAAATAAACACTCCAGCAGTTCAGCATGCTCAAACCGGAGGGCTGGACCAGCTCCCAAGTTGCATGACCGTTCTTATTTTGGACATTGGTGTTCCCGCAGCGGCGGAACGGCGCCCACAGCAAATTAACAGAGAATGCAGAAAGCTGGTTTGTTGTAGCCTCAACATAATCGAGGCAATTTGTTTCTGGAGTTGCCTGCCGGATTTTCTCACAAGGCATTTCCTAAAGCCGGATTAAGTGAACAGTTTCAGAGAAAGGAAGGTAATGGTGAGTACCAGTTTACTTCGTCCAGAAATTGCTCCTGTTCAGCAAAGAGATTTAAGGGGGGGGCTTATACTCAGGACAGCCCCCCTGAAAATGATGGGCATGATATACATGGGCCCATTAATTCCAGTGGGCCTACTCTGAGTAGGACTTAGTTGGAGACCATCCTACATTTATGCAGGTGTAATGATTACTTTCTAAGACATAAGTATGTGTTTGTTGGGGTGGGGCTGAGTATGCCTGGAAGCAGAGCTGAATTTGCACTTGGGTTCAGCTCCGAATTAAAGCAGAGCACAGCTTGTCGATAGTGTGGCTTTTTCCTCGCTCCTCGGAAATCACAATTAGTCCCTGAGACATCTGGAACCGAGGTCAGACTTTTGACCCTGAAGCTCTCAAAGCTGCTTGCTTTAAAACCCAAATGCATATGAGCTGCCTGTGTGGGTATCAGAGGAATGAGAGGCTTGAACTCTGCACGTGCCTCAAAGGATTATGTCCTGAGGTGGACTGGGCTGTCAGAGCCAAAGGCAGGCTATTCTGATACCTCATGCCACAATTGCGGGTGGGAGTGTGATTTTGTGTCACAGCACAAAATGAGGGGAAGGTTAACCCTCCCTTTCTGTGCCGTTCAGTTGTGACCATAGGCTTTTTAAAAGCTTCAATTGTCACTAATGGCTTGTTTGTTTTTAAGCAAGCCTAATTGTATGGGGGATCAGGGCATGAGAAGGGTGAGGAACAGGAAGACCGTGAGCCCGCAGAATGAAGATTCCCTCCTTCCCCATAGAAGGCTGAGCCCATTGAAACCAATGAGATTTCAGATGTATGTTTTTTGGTTATAGCAATTATATCCCACCTTTTTCTTTCAAGGAGCTCAAGGTGGTGTACATGGTCCTCCCTCACATCAATTAATCACTACAACAACCCTGTGAGGAAGGTTAAGCTAAGGGGCAGCAACTGACCCCCAAGGGTCACCCAGGGAGCTTCATGGCTAAGTGGGGATTTGAACCCGGTTTCTCCCAGGTCCTAGTCCAACACGGCACTACCACTGCACTACTATGGCTCTCACTAGACTTCACTGGCTTCATTCGTCCCATAGACTTCAAGGGGAACTACAAGCCAATTTACCGTAATAGCTGTCAACTTTTCCCTTTTCTTGCGCGGAATCCTATTCGGAATAAGGGAATTTCCCTTTAAAAAAAGGAAACGTTGACAGCTATTGCCAATTTGACACAATCCTATTACTGCAAGATAAGTTGGTATAAACCTCAAAGCAGTTTAAAAAAAACAACAATAAAATTATCAGCTATTGAAGCTATTGAAAACATTTTAATAAACAATCCAATTAAAGCATACACCAACATTCTGCGTGTCTGGATAGACTTGCCTAAACTAAAACATTTTAGCAAGTGCCAAAAAGGGTGCAGTGAAGTCGCCTGCCTGGTGTCAATTGGCAGGAAGTTCCAAAGTGTGGGTGCCACCACACCAGAAGATTGATTTATTGCAAAAACATAATGACTATAATCACCTAGCATGTGTAATAGTGCCAATTCCGCAGGTGGAAGCAGTCTAGTGGGATTGTATATAGGATAAGGCAATATTGCTTGCTGCAAAGGGCTTTATATACTAATCGTAATACCTTTATCTTGGCTCGGGAACAAATCGGCAACCAGTGCAGATCTTAGAGCACAGGTGTTAAATGCTGACAAGACCCCACTCCTGTCAGCAATTGTGCTGTAGCATTTTGCACTAACTGCACCTTCAGGATACTGTAGATTTGACTAATGTTGGGCAACATCCCATGTCAGGAATGGGGGACCTTTTTTGGAAATTGTATCTAGCAACAAAAACAGACTATACACACAATGGGAATAAACAAGCAGTGACAACAAAATAATACAAGATCAACACAAGGAATTCTTCTTATTCTTTGATAATAAAGTTGAAATAAAAACCTATTTTCAGTCCAAGGGCCACTTTCCCTTCTGAGCAACTTTTTGAGGGCCATGTCCCTGTGGCGCGCTCAGCCAGTGGCAAAAGTGGGCAGAGCAAGGAATGTGAATTTTAACTTTTTAAGCAGGCAATTTTTCACACATACCCTTCTCTGTCCACTGTCCAGGTAACGCAAGTGCCATGATCAGAGTTCAAGGGCACATCCCAGTCAGGCAAAAACACTTGAGGAGGATGCAGATTACTGCTGTTGAGGGGCATGGCCTGTGAAGGGGTGTGTGTGGAATGGGAAGAGTCCTGAGGGCCAGTTAGAAAAGTGTAGAGGGCCGCAATTGACTCCCAGGCCTTCTGGATCCCCTCTCCTGCAATAAGATTTGGTATATATTGGAGAAGACGGCTAATTTCCTGTGGGTGTTTTTGCTTGTTTGTTTCTTTACAGCTTTTTTGTCATCTTGAAGTAAACCTCTAGAAGGTTGCTGGAAATCAGGCCAAGATGACCAAGACTGAAGAAGTGCCGGACAGCCATACGTCTGGGGAATTTTATGAGAAATATGAGCCAAAGGAAATCCTGGGGAGGTAATGAAATGAAATGAACTAATCTTGCTGGTTAATACGCTGCATGTCCCTCAGAACCAGAATATGGATGTCAAATCAGCCAGTTGTGGAAATTGGAAAGCTTTTGCCAGGACAATATATCACACACACACACACACACACACACACGTGTGTGTGTGTGTGTGTGTGTAGCACAAGTACTAAGAACCCAAAACAAGTCTTGTTGGAACTGTCTTGTCAAGAGTCCCATTTCTAGCAATTGTAGTTCTCAAGTATACTGCTATTGGACTTGGAGGTTCCATCCAGCCACCATGGCCTATAGCTGTTGATGCACTATTATCTTTCATAGCATGGGGTGGAGGGTTTGATCTGGCTGATGGGCCCGATACTGAGTTCCCCCACTCCATGGCCAGCCACTTTGATAGGTGCAGGGGACTCCTATTGACCCTGCCAATCACCTTTTTTTGGACCGGTTGGCAATTTGAGAAAGTGCCAGTCACAAAATGGCTGCCTGCGGCGGGGCATAATGCAAAATGGCTGCCATGGGAGTGTGTGCCATAGCACAAAATGGCAGCTGGGGGCGGGGGTTATAGGACACATGGCTGCTGTGGAGGGTATGGCATTATACAAAATGGTTCAAAATCCCCACCTGAAAGTGGATGGCCTTGGGGGCCAGTCACTGTCTCTCAGCCTAGCCTACCTCCCATGGTTGTCATTGAGTTCCTTGAAGGAAAAGTAGGACACAAATGTAGTAATAGTAGGATTGATTTTTTTATTGCATTTTCTCCAAGGAGATGGCATAACGCATAGTTCTCCCCCTCCCCTCCTGAATTAGTCCCCACAACAACCCTGTGAGGTGGGCTAGGCCGGGAGGGGCAGTGGATGGCACCCATGGGCACCCAGTGAGCTTCTTGGTTGAGGATGGAGTGGGATTTGAACCCTGGTTTCTCAGATTTTAGTTTGACACTCTAACAACTACACCACGCTGGCCCTAGTACCTATATATTTGTAGATAGGGTGTAGATATAGGGTTTAATTCTTGGCTAAAACCTCTCTTGTCTGCTCTGCCCTTCCAGGGGAGTGAGCAGCGTTGTCCGGCGCTGCATTCATAAAGTTACAAGAGAAGAATATGCAGTGAAAATCATAGATATCACAGCTGGGAATCTGTCTCCAGAAGAAGTCAAGGAGTTGAGGGACGCCACTCTGAAAGAAATTGACATACTCCAGAAGGTGTCTGGACACCCAAACGTTAGTAAGTCAGGCTTTGGTTCCAGAAAGTTCTGACGGAACAACAGCTATGAATTGGGGGGTGGAGGCAAAAAATGGAGTCTGCTGGCTGTTATTTTCACTGAAGTGAAGGACCTAGACCTCGAGATCATGCCTGTGGATTTGCTTTGTCTTTATGATTCTGAACCCTGCGTCCCACCATTTGTCAGGAGAAATGTGCTGCTGTCTTTCAAATGCTCTGGGTAAGAACATAAGGAGAGCCTGGCTGCTGGATCAGGCCAAGAGGGACCCACTTGGCCCAGCGTTCTGTTCTCACAGTGGCCAGCCCATTTTAGGAAGCCCACAATCTGGGTAGGCAACACAGCAGAGACCCCTGGGGAGATGATTTGAGGAATGGAAGAAAGAACCCTCACATTAATCCTGCTCCATCTCCTCAAACATAAATACGACAAAAACTCCAGCACCCCACCCATTTCCCTGAAATGTCACCTTCTTCCAATTTTCCAATTTTAAAAAGAACCCACACCTCATTGACATGCAAAAATAACAAATAAAATAAAAACAATGCAACTTAAGTAAAATCAAACATATGTGCAAAATGTTTCGATGAGAATAGAAATTGCATTTGGAAAATTATGAATTGATGGGTGTGAGGAACAATGGGGGGAAATCTGGTCTGGGATCTTGTTATAAACACCTGTGCTTCAGCGTCTCGATTCCTTGTGTGACATTTGCAGTGCCGAGAGAGTAAAGTTTCCGTGCCACAAAAAAAAAAAATCCTCGTTCTGCTTCCCTTGGTCATTCAGAACAGTGGACACGGTTTTCTTCCCTGTAATAGATGGTGTTCTCATTTGACACCCCCCCTGCTTTAAATCCAGCCCCTGCGAGATCCCCACATGGCCCCAGCTATCATATTTTCTATGTGCTGATGAATCAGCATTACCGTAACACACAGGCTATAACTTAAGGAGGACCAGGCACTCCCAGGAAAAGGCTTCCCTCTTCTCGCTATCCGCTCTTTGCCTCATGACATTTGTACAGAGGTGCCTAATGCGTTTCTGGGACCCATTTGTAATTCCAGGGCTGATTCCAGGGAGTTTTGACAGCAGGGGGTTGACAGCCTCTGCCTTGGAAGATTTCCTAGACATGTTCACAGAGGATCAGCCAAGCAGAGGATCGGTTGGTTCCAGGGCCAGAATCACCTAGAGGCAGAGAGATCAGGGGTAGCTTTTCATTAGTATGAAATGGCAGCAATTTCTCAGTTACTGCATCTGCTTTGCATGCAGAAGGCACCAGTTTCAATCCCTGGCGGCAATTCCAGGTAGGGATAAAGTCCCACACATTGTAGATATTGCAGAGCTAGGTAGACCAATAGCCTGGGTGAATATAAGACTGTTTCTATCTTCTTATTCAAATCAGAACAATGAGGACTAGAATCATGCTTTATTCTTTGGGAAAGGGACATAGTTCAGTGGCAGAGCATTTGCTCTGCATGCAGAAGATCCTGGGTTCAATCCTTGACAGCATCTCCAGGTAGGGCTTGAAAAGACTCAATTTATGAAACCCTGGAATGCCACAGACAGTCAGTGTTGACATTACTCACCTAGGTCAATAGTCTGCAAGAGATATATGGCAGCTTCCTATATTCCTGTTCCCCAAAAAAGTGCATTGGGGGTTGGGGGACGGCACCACAGCATGAATCACATGAGGTCAAGGCAACCAAAATGGCCGCTGGGTTTGTGTGATGGAAAACAGGAAGATGGCGTCCTGGATTTTGGCTTCAAAGTGTTGGAGGGTATGCTAACGTCCTTGAGCTATGGGGCCTACCATTAAGCAGCCAGCAAACCTTCTGTATGTCATACGACCTGTCCTTGCCCCTTGCCCCCAGTCTCCCTCTGCCACCACTAGCCTGTTGGCTTCAGGTGTAGCGGAGACATCCATCCCATTGCCAGTGTTAAAATAAGTTTTAACTGCCAGTCCAGTCAGCTTCTGTACCTGAAACAACTTGCCTTTCGCCTCAGGCAGCCCAAATGTCCCAGACTGACTTTGCTGTGTCACCCTGCCTGAGTCACGCCATCCACGAAGGACTTTTAAACAAACATACATTTCAACGTTTTACAGGTATCACAGTGGAATTTATCTATTGCTTTCCTTATATGATCACATCTCTCCCAGTGTGCTATTTATGCACCATTTTAATTTAATTTAAATTATTTCATACCTGCCGTTCACCATAAGGTGTGTGACAGTTATAATCTGTTCTACAGTGAAGGTGCATAGATGCACATCTGTGGGGAGGGAGTTTCCCAATCTAGGGGCTACCCCAGAGAAAGCCCTGTCCCAGCCTGTCATTCCCCATACCGCTTAGGGTCCCCTCTGCAGAGCTTAACACCTAAGAGGGTCTGTAGGGAAAAGGGGGGTCTTTTAGACATTAGTGGCCTCAATCCTTGGGAGACAATTATGCTTTGTGGTCTTCTGGATGATGCTGGACTCAAACTCCCATCAACCCCAGGAGGTCACATGACCAGTCTGGTGGCGTGGCTGGCCCCAGGTGACAGGTGAGGAAGAGCAGGCCTGGTGGAGCTGAATTACAATGCACCGTTGCTCAGGGATCTCCAGTTAAATGGCCTTGGAAAGCAGAGGACAGGAAGGACCCTTCCCAGTCTCATATCTGGGCCAGAGCCAGTAAAGTGATCTAGACCAGAGTTTCCCAAACCTTTTCAGGCCATCACAATAAAATTCAAAACAATGAATTGCAGATTTATTCAAAATCCAATTAAAGCTATTTAGTTTAACTAATACAACAAAACGAATGTACCTGACTTAGTGATGCCAGCTTTTAAAAGTTTAATTTACACTGGGTCAGAAATGATATAAACCAGCTTCCCCGGTTGATCTTGCACAGATATCCGCACTGATTTTTAACTACAGTTCCTAGGATATCTTGAAGGAAAGACGTCATCAACGTTAGAGTGGTATAGAACAGTTTGTAAAAAGAGCTGTCCAGAGCCCTCCCAGCCCAGTTCAGCTTTCAAGCCCAGATTTTGTGGAGGTGGTGAATGCTTCAAAGGTGATCCCACATTGCTAAGAATACCATATTTTCTTTTGCAGTCCAGCTGAAGGACAGCTTTGAATCCAACACGTTCTTCTTCCTGGTGTTTGACCTGTAAGTACTGGTGTTTTTTTAACCAACGCATCATACTGAAAGAGCAAGATTTTGCCATGGGCATCCGGGCTTACAAACAATATAATGTTTGGAAATGGTTTGAGGAGCATTTCAGCTAGTGAAAAATGCAGCTACTCGCCTGCATATAGGTTCGAGTCACCATATTAGTGGGTCACCTGTTTTGAAATCTAAGAAGATCCCTGCTGGATCAGAGCAAAGGTTCATCAAGCCAAGCCTCCTGCTTCTTGCAATGGTCAACGATAAACGTTCCCATGGCATGAAGGGAGCAGCTGTTCGTCTCTCCGCCTCTCTGTTGTGGGGCTGGCTCAGATTTCCCCGTAACCTTTGCTAAGGTCTCTGCTGCTGTCACAGATCCTTGGGGGTTTATTTTTAGCCGCCCCACATTTGTGTAATAGCTGGTGTGGTGGCTGCTTTAACCAGAGTTTTTCCTGCACAAACATTCTTGATACATTTTTAATGCACTCTGAGTAAGCAAATTCTCCTAACATCCTTTTCAGACACACTTTTTCTTACTTCTCTTCATATATCTATTATCTGTCAAAGCATATACTGTACCATAATTCATTTATAATGATACAGTCATTAGCATTTATCCAAATGTATCTTCTGGAAGAAATTCTGATTCCCATGAGTGCTTTAAATATGTATCCTGACCTGTGGAATTCTTCTTGGTCCGTCTCCTGGCTGAGATCTTACTAGGCCATATCCCCATTTCTGACCAAGCTTATCTTTTGAACCATGAGGACCAGAGGCTTAAAAAAAACCACCCCAAAACCCTGAGATTTGGAGTTGTATACAGTTGAAGTATACATTGGAAGTTTTAGGAGTGCTGTTCGATCTGTAAAAGGGGAAAGAGGAGTTGTGAAGCTTCCAACCTTCCCCACATCAGCTAATGCCCTTTGCTTCTTATTTAGCTTATTTTTGATGTAAATTTCTTTCCCCTCCCTCAACTTAGAATGAAGAGAGGGGAGCTATTTGATTACCTCACAGAGAAGGTGACTTTAAGTGAGAAGGAAACCAGGTAAGGCATTTCAGCCCCCTCTGTTTCAACCGCCCTAAAGAGACAAAATGGGGGTGATAATACATACTGGCCTACCACACAGGGCTGTTGTGAGGCTTGATTAGAGTTGTCAACCTATCCCCCTGCCTCTGCACCCCAGGTCTGGGTTTTTGCTCGCACCGGAGCATGGCAAAATATTGGGAGTTGGGTTTTCTAGACTAGACACGAACCGCTGTAATAAGAAGCCTGGGTCTGAGCCCGAGAGAGGGAACAGATTTGCTCTGAATACAAGTGTCCTGTGAATTAATCTTTGGACAGGATTGATTAGAAAGGGTTGTTCCCTGGAATGCCAGGATCTCTGTGTCATCACCAACAACTGTGGGTGGGGGCTGCTCCCCGGCTCCCCTTGCTTGCCAACTCCCACCCAACTTCCCTATCTCCTCAGAGCATCTCATGTCCCTCCATCCTTACTTTATTCAAATCTCTCCTGTTGTTGAAAACCACCATTTTAAAACCTGCCTTCTCTTTTTGCTTCCCACCTCGACTTCATGCAAATCTAGCACTACAAATCCTCCTATGGGGCTGTGTGGTGACAGCCTTATATTTCTATTTCTTGTTATAATTATACAATTATAAACAAAACAACTGATAAAAAGACAAGAGAAGTATACTACGATAGCAACTTTATCTGTTTCTCGTTATAAATTTAGGGTGCATTTCATTTCCCTCTAGCCTCACTTTTTGTAGCCTGTGTGTATATAATATTTATTTAATTTATTTCATAAAATTTATACGCCGCTTGGTTGTACAAAAAAACAAACAAACCTCAGAGCGATTTGCAAAAATAGATAAAACAATAAAATTACCAATAAGAAGAATTAACAACAATAATTTAAGACTTTTGAAAAGGTAAAAGAACAATGGACTAAAAACAGATTAAAACTCGTGCCAGCTTTCTGAACAAACGGGTAGGGTTGTCTAATCAATGTTTTAAGAAGGTGCATAAAAAGAGTACATTGAAGGCACCTGCCTGATGTTAATAGGAAGGGAGTTCCAAATTGTTGGTGCTGCCACACTAAAATATTGAGTTGTTTATGTTTCTCTTTCTCTCTGGGTTAGGCAATGTGGTGCCCTCCAGATGTTGCTGGACTTCATCAGGCCCAGCCAGTATGACCAATGGTCAGGGATGATGGGAGATTCCAGCAACATCTGGAGGGTACCACACAGGCTCCCCTGATCTATCTATCCATGCATCTACATACTTCCAGCAAAGCAATAGGGAACAGGGGTGCCCATCTTCTCCTTTAGATGGTTTCCTTTTGCTAAGAAGCATCTGCTCTCTCTCCCTGCAGGAAGATCATGCGTGCTCTCCTGGAAGTCATCCAGTATCTACACAGCATGAACATTGTCCACAGGGATCTCAAGCCGGAGAATATCCTTCTGGACGACGACATGAACATCAAACTGACCGACTTTGGCTTCTCCTGTCAGCTGCACAGAGACGAAAAGCTCAAAGGTGGCATGGCGAGCTTATGGCAAAGATAAAAAATGTGGGGTGGTGAAGATGGAGGCTGCATTCTAACCCCTGCCCCTTAAAAAAAAAAGTAGGAACTTAGGAAGCTGCTCCATATCAGGGGTAGGACCAAGGGCACATTCCCTTATAGGAAAACCACCCGGGGGGCACTGGCTGGAGTGGGTGGGGCCAGAGGCAAAAAGTGGGTGGAACAACTAGTGGGACTCTTACCTTGGTACAATATGGAACCTTAAACAAACACACACACATTCACCATTGTACCTGTGCAAGCAAAAGGTTTTATATTATTAATCTTATTTGATTTGTTAACAAAAAGAAAGTGCAAACATGACAGAAAGAAAACAAAGAATAGAAACTGTAAGTCCTAAAGTGTCACAGCTTGGAAAGAGAAAAGTTCATCGTTATGGCACAGCTCCTAAGGGAGGCCAGAGAACTCTGAGGGAAATTGCTGCAGGTTTGTTTTATTCATCTTGTGTCCAGAACGGAAACAAATCCAACAAACATTATTGGTGTTCCCTGTTGCTGTTTTCTGCCCGCAAACCATGTATTGTTGATGAATTTCCTGCTAATTTGCATTGTGTTCCTTTGCCCTGAAAGGAATGGCATGGAATTAGGTAAAATTTTACCATTGCTAAGAGATGAATAATGTAGTTTTTGCCAGAAGACGAATTGCAGTGGAAGGGAAACAGTGTTGCATGCTGTGTAGACAGAGCAGAAATCAATTCCTTCCTACAGCCTTAGTTTTAAGGGATGCATTTTGCTCCAGGGCCGGAAGTTCCCCATCCCTGCTCTATACTGAGTCCATCTAGTTTAGTACTGTGCACACTGGCCAGCCAGGGTTTCAGACAGGGGTCTTTTCCAAACACTCACCTAGAGGTGCTGTAGACTGAGCCTGGAAAACCTCACCATGCAAACCATGAGTCAAAGCCCTTCCCCATTTTACAAGCCCAGAATCATACAGTCCTGCAGCATCAGTCTAGACAAAAAATCCTGAAACTGGCATGTTTCCCACATGCATCTGGTTGGCCACTGTGAGAATAGGATGCTGGACTAGATAGGTCTTGGCCCAATCCAACAGTCTTTTCTTAGGTTCTTAACTTGCTTTGAGCCAATGGGTATAGCAGGATTTTAATAATACCTAATACTAACTGATATTAGCGGTACTTTTAACAAGTATTTAGCTTTTTATTCCTGTTCTTTGCAGAGATCTGTGGAACTCCTGGCTACTTGGCTCCCGAAATACTAGAATGTTCCATGGATCCAGACCATCCAGGTTATGGGAAGGAAGTTGACATGTAAGCAGAACCAATATATCATCATGGGGTGGGGGAGCAGACTTACCTAAAATATCACATACCCCTCGAGGAACCTACCTGGGTGCTCAGGTACTCAGGGAAGCACTTTCTCTTAATCCCATCAGCATCAGAAGCACAGCTGGTGGTGACCCATGAGAGAGCCTTCCCCATGGCTGCTCCCAGATTGCAGCATTCCCTCCCCAAAGAGGCCAGACTGGCTCCCTCCTTGTTATCCACCCACCGGCACACTATTGGAATTACCCAACACTTCTGTCTTCATCCATCCTTCGTTCTGCATGACTCTCGGTGCGCGTTGCGTCTGCTTTACATTATGCACGACTCAGGCGCAGATGCATTTAATTGTGGGGGTGGGATTGCTTGTTTCAGGTGGAGCACCGGGGTCATCATGTACACCTTGCTGGCAGGATCCCCTCCATTCTGGCACCGGAAGCAGATGCTGATGCTGAGGATGATCATGAACGGGGACTACAAGTTCGGCTCCCCGGAGTGGGACGATCAGTCAGACACCGTCAAGGACCTGGTGGGTGGTGTTTCAAGAGGGAGGGCAGAAGGGCCATAGCTCCATGGCAGAGCATCTGCTTGGCATGCACAAGGCCCCAGCTTCAACCCACACTATCTCCAGGTAGGGCCCCTCTACCTGAAACCCTGGACAGCTGCAGCCATTCAGTGTAGACCAGGCCTCCTCAACCTTAGCCCTCCAGATGTTTTTGGCCTACAACTCCCATCATCCCTAGCTAGCTGGACCAGTGGTCAGGGGTGATGGGAATTGTAGTCTCAAAACATCTGGAGGGCCGAGGTTGAGGAAGCCTGGGACAATAATGAGCAAGGTGGACCCAATGGCCTGACTACATGTAAGGCAGCTTCCTAAGTTTATGTGAACAACAGATTTAAAGTATAATATTTTGTTGTTTAAGCAGAAGGGGCTATAGCTCAGTGGTGGAGCATATTCGGTTCATGCAGCAAGTTTTAGGTTCATCTCCACATAGGGTGGGGAACGTCCCCCTTCTGAAACCCAAAGAGCCACTGCCAGTCAGTGTAGACAATACTGAGCTAGATGCAGGGACAGACTTTGGTAATATAGTGTCCTGAGCAAGGAAAATATTTGGTGGGCCCCTTGCCCATATATTTCTTATTTTCACAATAATTCCTTTTTGTACTTGGGGGTAGGTACTTATATTATTAGCCCCCTTGGCTTGGTACCCCCATGTGGGAGAACTGCCCACACCACCCTACATCTGGCACTGCTAGATGGCCTGACTCTGTATATGCAGCTTCCTGTTTAAATTGGCCCTTTGTTTAGAATCAAGAGGACTAGAATCTTCCTTTATTTTCAGTATAGGCAGCTTCCTATGTTCACTTGCCAGGTCTCCTGACCCTCAGGAAGAAAAGGCAACTCGAAGGACAGAGGTCAGAACAATTACAAACAGGGTGCAGAAGCTGAATTGAGTTGTTTTTTTCCTTCCACACTCATAATGCCAGACCTTTAACTACACCACCTGAATTTTCTGGGGTGCAATTGAATCCCCCTTGAAAACAGAGACAGTCTGAAAGGGTCCACTGTCTCTAAAACCCATGGGTGACCCCTCATTCAAGGCCTGAACAATTTATAATCAGGCAAGCAAAAGAAGAGAGAAGAGTTTGATTGCTAGGTATGTGCCAGGCCATGATCTGCGGCTGGTGAGCTCTGACTGGTACAGGGCAATGGAAAATTGTCTGGGCCCCAGTTCATGCTTTAGCAGCCCCTGCCTGCGGCCCAACCCCAGCTCTTCTTCCTCTGCCTACAGATCGCCCACTTCTTGGTGGTGAAGCCGCAACACCGCTACACCGTGGAAGACGCCCTCGCCCACCCCTTCTTCCAGCAGTATGTCGTGGAGGAGGTCCGGCATTTCAGCCCCTTCCGGAAATTCAGGGTAAGGGAGTTAGCCAGGTCCTGCTGGGGGGCTCACCTGGCCCAGTGTCTGACTCCCAGATGTTGCCTTTCACCGTAGAATTGCAGTCCTTTTCCCTTCTTTAGCTGCGATTATTGCATTGCTGGAGGTTTAATATGACCCTTGAGATCCTTTCCAACCCTAAAATTTTCTGACATGGCCTGCTGTGCACTGGAAGCTCCTCCTTGTTCTTTTTATCACTTAACTCTCATTTCCCCAGGCATCATAAAGCTGTGCTGGCTGAGGCTGGTGGGAGTTGAGAGTCCAAAACAGCTGGTGACTGCAGCTTGGGGAAGACTGGTCTAAACCTAGTAGTACAGATGTCCTGTGTAGAAGCTGGGCCTGACCTAAACAGGTTTCCCCCTCCCAAAAGTCAATTATTGACGCTGAAGATCATTTCAAAGCAGTTAAATTGATCTAGATTCCTCAGTCAAAAGACAGGTGATGAGTCAATGAAATGCTCCCTAAACATAAGGGACTGCTGGATGAGGCCAACAGCCCAGCTAGTCCAGCATCCTGCTCTCACAGTGGCCAATCCTGGTGCCGCTTCTGGGAAACCCACAAGCAGGATCCAAGCATAAGAGCACACAGCCCCCCTTCAAGAAACTGGTATTCAGAAGCATTGCTGCCTCTGACCGTGGAGGCAGAGCATAGCCATCGTGGCTTGTAGTCATCAATAGCTCTCTCCTCCGCCATGAATTTGTCTAATCCTCTTAGGTAAAGGTAAGGGGACCCCTGACCATTAGGTCCAGTTGTAACCGACTCTGGAGTTGCGGTGCTCATCTCGCTTTATTGGCTGAGGGAGCCGGTGTACAGCTTCCGGGTCATGTGGCCAGCATGACTAAGCTGCTTCTGGCGAACCAGAGCAATGCACGGAAACGCCGTTTACCTTCCCGCCGGAGCGGTACCTATTTATCTACTTGCACTTTGACGTGCTTTCGAACTGCTAGGTTGGCAGGAGCAGGGACCGAGCAATGGGAGCTCACTCCATTGCGGAGATTCGAACCGCCGACCTTCTGATTGGCACGTCCTAGGCTCTGTGGTTTAACCCACAGCGCCACCCGCGTCTTGAATCCTCTTTTAAAGCCATCCAATTTGGTGGCACTCACTGCCTCCTGCAGAAGTGAGTTCCACCGTTTAACTATGTGCTGTCCTTTCGTTTTATCAGCCTACAGCCCTCGTCACTGAGTTTCTAAACGTGTTCCGTCTCCCTCTCCAGGTCATTTGCTTGACTGTTCTGGCATCGGTCCGCATCTACCTCAACTACCGCAACGTCAAGCCCATCACCAGGGACGTGCTGCAGCGGGACCCCTACAGCCTGAAGCCTGTCCGCAAACTGATCGACGCTTGTGCCTTCCGGATCTACGGGCACTGGGTGAAGAAGGGTGAAGCCCAGAACCGGGCCGCTCTCTTTGAAAACACTCCCAAGGCCGTTCTGTTCAGCTTGGCAGCCGAGGAAGAGTTGTTCTGAGTTCCAGCACACTCAGTGGTCGGGTGAAGCCTCCCAGCATGTTAACAGCTAAAGCAAAACTTTATTATTTACTTTAAAAAAACAACAACTCATATTGCCTTTTCTCCATGGAGCTCAGCTACACTTCCTGCTCACCATTTTTATCTTCCCTGCGACCCTGTGAGGTAGGCTAGGGTGAGCAATCTCCAGAGAACTTTATGGCTGAGCTGGGGTGGAGATTTGAACCCAAAGTCTTAGTCTGGCAATCTAACCACTATACCACATGCTCTCATTATATATACTTTCCTTAATTACACAGTCTGAGACACACCAAAATTATAACAGTATAGTAGCGCTCTAGAAGCTTTCAGAATTTTGTCTGGTTTTCCTTCCTGGACTGGGTGGGGTGGGGTGGGACATTGTTTAAATCTCTAACCAGCCCCATCCTAAGAGTGGCAGACAAAAATATGCAAGGTGATGTATGCTCAGAAATTAAATGCAGGCATCAAATATTCCTGCATTGCAGGGGCTTGGACTCGATAACCCTTGAGGCCCCTTCCAGCTCACAATTCTGATTCTGTTAACAATTTTGAAGCGGTAAACTCCAGCCATTGAAGGGTCATCTCCATGCAACGTAAAAAGGGGTGCATGGCAGGAAGAAATTCAACAGGGCCTCTGGAGAAACTCAACAGGTGAAGCAAGCTTCTTTTCACCCCAGTGTATGGCTGCTTAAATGAGGAGGCAGAGAAGCTGCTTTATGGAAAGGAGCCCCAAAGCCCTTAAACCTCTTAGAAATATTGAGTTTGCTGCCCCAGGAAATCTTTTAAGACTGGACAAATGCATGGGGTTTTCCAGGAGCTGTGAGTGGCGAGAGATAAACATGGAACCTCCAGTGTCAGAGGCTGTATACCTCAGAATACCAGATCATAGGGCACAAACAATGGGATTGGGCAGGGGGAGTGGGGGTTGCCTCTTGCTTTCAAGTTCGGCTTCTCGTGTTCCTGAAGGCGTCTGTGCAGCCAGCGTTGGAAACAAGGATGCTGGACCAGGAGGGAGGCATTTGCATCCTCTGGTTGGCCTGCCATGGACTCTGGAACTCAACTGCTGCTTCATGTCTGTATTGCGATGCCCGGTGGCAAAGTAGAGTGTCCAGCAAGCCTTAGAAAAGGTGCTGATGAACCACAACTCCCATCAGCCCTAGCAAGCACAACCAATGGTCAGGGCTGATGGGAGTTGTAGTTCAGCAACATCTGGAAGGCTAGGGATGTCCCCCGCACTTCCTGCTATATATAGCATCAGCCCAGCTCAGGGGTGTGAAATATTTATTATGACTATTTATTACATCTGCACACACGGAAGGGAATGGATTGGTTTTCTAGGGGAGGGATTGATTTAAGAATGAATAAATGTGCTTTATTTATTGGATGTGGACTTTTGTTCATTGCACAGCGACATCTTGCTTCCTCGAATCACTTGCTTAGCGACGTCTACAGGGTTCTTCATATAGCAGGGGGTTTGACTAGAGGACCATTTGGTCTCCTTCCACCTCTAGAATCCTATGATAAAACAGGAGCCTCTGTGCGCTTCCAAGTTACAATCCGTTTATTCTGCAGTGTTCTGCAGCTCAGCCTCCCACAAGCTGGTACCCTCTGGATGTGGCTGGACTCGAACTCCCATCAACCTCTCTGGAACATCTGCAGGGAAGGGTGACTCAGATGATGAAGGGTCCGGAAGCCAAGCCTTTTACGGGGAGCAGCTGAGGGTGCTGGGCCTGTTGAGCCTGGAGAGGTGAAACAAGACCCCTCTTCCGATTTCTGAAGGGCTGCCACATGGAAGATGGAGCAAGCTTCTTTCCTGCTGCTCCAGAGGGTCAGACCTGAAACAATGGATTCAAGTGGCAGGGAAGGAGATTCCAACTAAACATTACAAAGAAACTTCTGACAGGAAGAACAGCTGGACAGAGGAACAGGCTCCCTTGGAAGGTGGTGGACTCTCCTTGGTGGGAGGTTTTTATAGAAAGGTTGGGTGGCCTTCCATTGGTTACAGCAAGGTTCGATCCCCATATGGGACAACTGCATATTCCTACATTGCAGGGGCTTGGACTAGATGACCCTCAGAGTCCTTTCCAAGTCTATGATTCTGATATAGAGCTGTAATTCCTGCATTGGAGGAGGTTGACCCTGAGGGTCTGACCACATATGAAAGATACTAAGTTGGGGAAGACACCTTTGCCTCAAACTTGCAGCATCATCAATTCAGCCCTTCCTAAACCTCCTTTTACAAGAGGCTCCTCCCCAGAACCAAAGCGGGGATCCGGTCTCTCCACTGGAGAAAAGGTCTGTTCCTTCCTTTTGGGAGGAAGCCCCTTCAGAGCTCTGCTTTTTCGCTCCCAGTTGCCGGGGTCGGCTGCTTGGCAAGGCTGGCAGCACACCGGAAGCTCAGGTTGTCCGAGGCCGAGTCTGGAGTGTTCCCCATCCTAAGGAGCGAAGGGGGAAAGGTTAGTTCCCAAGAAGCTGCTTCATACGGAGTCAGCCCACCAGCCCACCTCAGTATTGTTGGCACTGACTGGCAGCAATGGCTCTCCAGGGAGTCTCTTATCAGCGCTACTTAAAGAGAGGCTGCTGGGACCTTCTGTATGCTAGGCAGGTGCCCTGCCCTGAGCTCACAGCCCTTCCTCTGAAGGTCTCTCTTCTTCATGAACCTAAATCAAGGGCTCTACAAGAGGATCGGACAAATTCATAGGAATGTAAGACGCTGCCGTCAACAGAATCAAACCATCAGATGTATCTAGCTCAGTACGGTCTACACTGACTGGCAGCAGCGCTCCAGTGTTGCAACCCCAAAGTGCTTCATCCCTGTTAGAATCAGTGCTATTTTACTCAGAAGTAAGCCCCACTGACTGCAATATGGACTACAGTGGTACCTCGGGTTACATATGCTTCAGGTTACATACGCTTCAGGTTACAGACTCTGCTAACCCAGAAATATTACCTCGGGTTAAGAGCTTTGCTTCAGGATGAGAACAGAATTCGTGCTCCGGCGGCGCAGCGGCAGCGGGAGACACCATTAGCTAAAGTGGTGCTTCAGGTTAAGAACAGTTTCAGGTTAAGAACAGTCCTCTGGAACAAATTAAGTACTTAACCTGAGGTACCACTGTACTGTCAAGTGAGTGTGAGAAATATCGCCTGTGTGTGTTTTTTAAAAGCCATTCCCACAAAACCAAAATTTCAGAGATTTAAATTGTGAAACCTCAGTTACAACTGTCAGATTCAGAAAACGGGAGTTCGTTTTGGACAGTTGAGACGTTGTTTTCAAAATGAGTGCTAAATATTAGTGGGTGGAGCAGGTGGGTGGGGTGATGCTAATGAGGAGCCCAAGGGCCAACCTACCTTGTCGTCAGCTGAGCCTTGTGATTGGCTGATCCATCCACCGTGTCAATCCAAGAGGCTCCCCGCAGAACACGCATCCCCTGAGCAGAGTGGCGGACCCTGGTAGCCCCTTCTGGACTATACTCTGAGTCTGTCCATTCCCAGGTATTTCCTAACAGGTCATATAACCCTGGGATACAGATCAACAGCAGTTGGTTAGGCTACTTGCTTTCCTCCCCCACTGGGGAGGAAAATGCACTCTGCACATGTTCAGGAACCAAAACTACTGTAGCTCATTGGCCAGGGCTTTTCAAGTGGGTGGGATGGCTAAAGGAAGATTCGAACAAAGTCCTGGTAACAGAGTATGGAATCACAAAAACATAGAGTTGGAAGGCCATTTAGTCCAACAGCACCTGCAATGCAAGAATCTTTTGCCCAATGTGGGGCTTGAACCCACATCCCTGACCTTAAGAGCCTCACGCTCCACTGACTGAGCAATCCCAGGAAGCTCTGTGGAGTCTAGAAGGAGGAGTTGCCAGTGTGGCATAGTGGTTAGAGTGTCAAGACTAGGATTTAGGAGACCAGGGTTCAAATCCCCCCTCAGCCATCATGAAGATAACTGGGCTAGTCAGGGATAACTAGGGATAAAATGGGAGGGGGAGAACCATGTGACCACCTCCAGCTCCCTGGAAGAAAAAGTAGGATATCAATGCAATAAATAAACTTTCCTTACCGTAGTTGTTCTGAGGAGGAAACGCAGCCACTGGGGAGACCCCATGATAGCCATCTTCAGCTGTGTCGACAGCAGGAAAATCACCCTGTGGGGAAAGAGGGAAGGAGCACCCACTCAGTATTTGTGTGTGCGTTGCACAGCTGGAGTCACAAGCCCCAAAGGACACCCCAGGGCATAAGCCGATTCAGTTGTAACTAAGGGCAGCAAAACATGAAAACTGGCCTTGAAAAAACACTCAGGATTGCGCCCGTTAAGAAGCTGCAGAAATCTGGTAATCCTTTCAAGCTAATATCTCTGATATGTTAGGATACCATATACCCTGGGAACCTAAAATATTTCTGCTTGGTTATCCTGTTATTGCAGGAAATGATCAAAAAGTAGTGTTTCAGTGTTATACTGCTGCTGAGTTTATAACAGCTAGTAATTGGCAGGTGGCAATGACTGATTTAAGCACATCCAATTGATGTGCGGCCACGCATGCATCGCAGTGACCTGGAAGTGGCTTATGCGTGCTCCGTCATTGTGCGAGATGACCTGGAACAGATTGGGGGTTGCCTGCATATCCAAATGGATTGATAAAAAATTATTTACAGTAACTATGATTAAGTTGACTTATTGCAAAATAATATATATAAACCAGGTTCGTTTGTATTTTTCGTAACGTTTGTAACAAGAAGTTCAATGATAATGTCCAACCGTATGCTGCTTGCAACGGGCTGTAATGGTCTTTCTTTATGCTTCTTGTCTTTGGCTTATTTTGTTTCTTGATAATAAAAACAGAAGGTTCAGAGGTTTAGACTAAGCAGGAAATGCTGAGGTGGCTTTGTGAGATGCAGCTGCCAAAACTGCACAGAATATTCCAAGTGCAGTCAAGCCACAGAGTTAAAGGCATGTGGGATACAAGCTTTTTATTTTATTTCATATAGAAAAAAACACCTCAATGGGGATTACAAAAATGATAAAACAGTAATGCTATTGATAAGCAAAAATAACAGCAATCATTTCAGGCTTTCGAAAAACTGAAATAACAATAGACTAAAAACAGAATTAAAATTTTCATTAGCTTTCTAAACATCTAGGCGAGCTTGTTGAAACAAATGTTTTTAGCAGGCACCAAAAAGAGTCCAGTGAAGGTGCCTGCCTGATGTCAAGAGGCAGGGAGTTCCAAAGTTTGACTGTTGCTTTGTCGCTTTCCTAAGAATCCCCGGAGGCTGTGGAGATATTGCAGTCACAGAGTCTCCTGCAGAAGGGGCCAGTCTTCAACAGCCAGCTGTGGCATAGTGGTTAGAGTGTCAGACTAGGGCCTCAGAGAGACCAGGGTTCAAATCCGCACCCTCCACATTTAGCCATGAACCTTGCTGGGCAACCACTCTGCCTCTCAGCTTAATTTACCTCGCAGGGCTGTTGTGAGGAACAAACGGGGATGGAACCAGATATGCCACCTAGAGCTCCTTAGAGGAAAGGCAGGATATAAATGTAATAAATAAATAGGAGTCAGGACAAAACACAAACGGAAGACTAGTAAGCTGTATGCCAGGTGTTTCCGACTACAACTCTCATCAGCCGGGGGCACCAGGTTGGGGGAAGGCTGGAACCAAGGTTCCCAAAGCCCTGCTCTCCAGTTTTCCTACCTGCCAGAGGTTCGTACGGTTGGCGAGGAATTTGTTCCCCCAAGGATACAATCTGTCTGGCAAAAAATAGGGAGGGAAAAAGAAAAGGTCATTTTTTAAGCTTGTTTTATCAGTTCCAACATGTTTGCATACACAAACACCACCTTCTCTTATCAAACCAGGCGAGCAGGAAAGGGTGATTTTAATCCTATCCTAAAAATGTTAAATTAAAATGACTGATGATGATGCAGAAGGGGAACAGCAGCAGCTCAGCCGGAAATCTTACCCACCCCCCGCCCTTATGCCTGAAGAGAGAGAGAGAGAGAGAGAGAGAGAGAGAGAGAGATGGAGAGATGGTCAGAATGGTTTTGCTGCCTTTGGGCTAAACTTAAATTGACTCCCCGATCCTGAATCCTGTTGTGCATGTAGCCATGGGGGGGGAACAGTCCACCTTATGCCACACTCCCCGCTTTAACCAGAGAACCCCTCATATATCTGCTGCCACTTGTACTGCCTATGTGGTCCTAGAAGGCCTAATTTTCACATGGATGGAATGGGGGGAAAGTGAGAGTAAAGGGGGTGGCACAGAGAGAGAGGGGAGAGAAAGAAAAGGAGGTAGCAGAGAGAGAGAAGAGAGAGAGAGAGAGAGAGAGAGAGAGAGAGGGGAAAGGGGAGAAAAAATAACCCCTACCCCACTTTATAGGAATCTAGGGCACAAAAACAGCTGCCAGCAATAACGAAATACTTCTAAACCTCGTTTTTGTCTCCTCCCCATGCCCTGACAATTTGTCTGAAGCCGTTCAGAGCCAGCTTTGTGCTCAGAAGCTGGTCTCTTTGGATGAGGGTTCCCCCCCAAAAAACTTAGCCTGCTCTCCCCTGGTCTGGATACGCTGACCGGATGAAGCTGTCGCCACCGCGACCCCCGGGCCCTTCGCTTACGTACTCTCCAGACCCCCCCTGGCAGCAAACTCCCACTCCTCCTCGGTCGGCAGCCTCTTCCCTCTCCACGCGCAGAAGGCCTGGGCATCGTTCCAGCTCACGTGCAGCACCGGGAAGTCCAGCCTCTCCTTGATGCCAGATCCGGGACCTGCGGGCTGATTGGGGTTACTCTGAGTAGGACTTGAACCAGACCACAATATCAGTAAACAATGATGGCACAGAGCACCAGCGCAGACCCAGGATGGCAGCCACTGCTGACTATCAGAGAAGCTGGTATCCCTGGATGAAGTGCATCAATTTAGTTGAGTTAATTAAACTAAATAGTCTTAACAGGATTTTTGAGTAAATGTGCAATTAGTTGTAACTGTTTTGAATGTCACCGTGTTATGATCTTCTTTAGCGGGTCATGCAAACAATTCTGCACAATGCTTTTTATAGGGTAGGGGGCACTGGGGAGGAGTTTATGGGACCAAGGGGCCCCGAAAAAGTCTGAACCATAGCCCTAATCTGGGTGGTGGAGGGGCGAGCCTGTTCCTCATTCTCCTCTCTGGGGCAAACACCAAACTAGCCTCCTAGTGTAGTCAAGGGAGAAGGAGGAAGTGGCTTGCGTTGAAAGAGCTTCCTCCAGCGCTCTGAAGACAAACTGATTTCTCTGGAAAAAAAGTTCTGTTTTGGGAAGCAATTTCCCCTCTGCAGAGACTTCAGAGGGGCTCCCTGTAACTGACAATCAGCTAATTGACACTGACAGATGGATGCAAGTTAAAGCAACCTCCCTTGAACTTTGACAAGTGTCAATAGTCTGACATTGTTATGGCCCATCTAGTGCAGCATCCTGTTCTCCCGGTGGCCTCTTCTAGGAAACTTGCAAGCAGGAGCTGAGCACAAGAGCACTCGCCCCCACTTCAAGCAGCTGATATTCAGAGACATCACTGCCTCCGACTGTGGAGGCAAAGTGTAGCCATCCTGGCTAGCAGCCATCAATAGCCCTCTCTTCCTCCATGAATTTGCCTAACCCTCTTTTAAAGCCATCCAAGTTGGCAGCCATCATTGCCTCCAGTGGGAGGGAGTTCCAAAGTTTAACTATGCGTTGCATGAAGCAGGACGTTCTTTTACTTGTCGCGACAGGTGGATGGAAATAAGGATCTGGTGTGTCAGGTTGTGAACTGCGACATTTTTATTTCTTTATTTCACAGAGTTCATACATTGCTTGATTCCATGGGGAAGCCTCAAAGCGGTTTCCAAAAATAGGCTCTATGCTGAACTGTGGGCTCCAGCTAATGGCCACTTTTTACTCCCTTTTCCTGGACGACAACATGGACCATTTTAGTGACATCACTCTTATAGAAGGATGAACATTCCCCTGCCCCTATGTAAGGCTCACCTGTCTCCAAAATGCTTTCTCGATAGGAAGCCACCACGGGGCAGACTAAAAGGAGGAAGAAAAGCGTGTTCAAAGCAAAAATCTCACCAGTGCTGATGCAGCCCACCTCCCCCCCCTTACAATAATTATGTCCCCGTTTTAGGAAAAGGTATTACTAGTGACATCACAGAAGCTTGGCCAATGGCTTGAGAGCAGGGCAACCCATGGGCAGGTAGCATCAAGCTAGCCTTTTATATAGCATGGCACAGAAACTTTAAAGATTTGGCAAGTCTCAATTTTTGGAAAGACAACATCCAGAATCTTCAGGGGGAGGAAACATATTGTTTGCAGGAACAGGCTTGTGATGGACATTTACCCCCATGACCTAAGGCCCCACCAGGAACACCGTTCGTCTCTAGGGCTGTCCCCTACCTCCAGCTTCCGTGTCACCTTCTTCTTCAGCTCTTCGGGGACGAAATCCTCAAAGACAAAGCTCCACCCGTATTGCTCAGCTTCTGTTTTGTATTTCTGGTCTCTCACAAACTCCCTGTTGGTTTTCAAACCAGGAACTTAGACACAAATCCCTAGATCAGCCTCCCCCAACCTGGTGCCCTCCAGCTGCTTTGGACAACAACTCCCATCAGCCCCGGCAAAGCCTGGCTTTGATTGACTGTCCAACTTTTCTCATCCAACACATCTGAAGACCTCTCTTGACCCATTTTCTTTTTCTACATATTCTTTTCCCAACCATAAACATCCTGGGAGGCTAATGGATGGGAGATCTGAGATAGCAGGGTCATAAAAAGAACCCGCTGGACCAGGTCAATGGCCCATCTAGGCCAGCAACCTGGTCTCAGACTGGCCAACCAGATGCCCTTAATGGGAAACCCGCAAGCAGGACCTGAGCCCAGGAGCCCTCTCCCCTCCTGAGGCTTCCAGCAACTGGCATTCAGAAGCATTACTGCCTCCAGCCATGGAGACAGACTATGGCCAACACAGCTAGTAGCCACTGATAGCCCTCTCTTCCTCCATGAATTCATCTAATCCTCTTTAAAAGCCATCCAAGTTGGTGGGCATCAATGCCTCCAGTGGGAGTGAGTTCCAAGGTTTAACTATACACTGCATGAAGGACTTTCTTTTATTCGCCCTGAATCTTCTCACATTCAATTTCACTGCATGCCCATGAGTTCTATTGTTACGAGAAAGAGGGAGAAAAGCTTTTCTCTGTCCGCTTTCTCAACCTCATGCATAATTTTATGAATGTAGAGGAAAGCACCATCATTTTTTTGCCATCAGTTACACTGGTCCTAATCTGAACACTTCCCACTGGACCATTAAATATATAGAGCATCATATATAGCCAATATTTGAATTTTCTCTCTATCTGCTTCAGGGAAAGGCCCTCGTAGCTCAGCAGCAGAGGATGTGCTTTGCATGCAGACGGTCTCGGGTTCAAATCCCTGACGTCTTCAGCCAGAGCTGGAAATATCACCCTGTTGCTGCCAGCCAGTGTAGAACAGGCATAGGGAACGAGCTGGCAGCTTAGAAATACTCTTATAAATGAAATAAAAAATAAACTGTATGCAGAACATGTTGAACACTCTGAAGTCCTATTCATATGTCCTATTGAGACAGAAATCATTGCAATTTTGCAACGCCACATCCCCACGGACCCAGGAGCACAGCCAGCCTCAAGCAAGCGTGGGATTTATGCCTTACCGGAAGTCTTTATTGGTGACTGGATATTTGTCCATCAGGAATGGTTTGACTTTCTTGAAGGCTCCATCTCCTTCTTTACCGTCCAAGAAACCTGCCCCGATTTGGAACACCCCACCAGAAATCCACACCACACTGTCGTCTGCTGAGAGGAGGGTGTAAATCAACAGGGAGAGAGAGTCAACACACACAAAAATGGTGGTTGCGATTCCTACATTTCTGCCTTTACAGCGGGTTGGACTAGATGACCCACTGGGTCCCTTCCAACGTTACGATTCTATGAAATGATGTCTCTGCAGAAAAAAATATGCCTGAATTATATTAGCATCCACCAACAGGGGACACCATTAAATGTTAGGGCACCAGGGGGAATTGTTCCTGGGCGTAGTCGGCCAATTGGTGCTAAAGAAGGATAGAAATTTTTTTATGTATGCAACAACAGCAGCAAGAATACTGATTGCAAAGTATTGGAAGACACAGGATTTACCCACACTGGAAGAATGGCAGATGAAAGTGATGGACTACATGGAATTGGCAGAAATGACTGGCAGAATCCGTGACCAGGGAGAAGAGTCGGTGGAAGAAGATTGGAAGAAATTTAAAGACTATTTGCAGAAATACTGTAAAATTAATGAATGTTAAATTGATGTTGGATTAAAATTAAGTGGTATTGGTAAAAAGATTATTAAGAATATGCAAATATGGAGTGATAATGGTTGAAAATACATAGTTATAATAGGTTTAAGATATTGAGTAAAGACAAATGATAGAGGGTAAGGATTTGCTGAAAGGATTTTTAAACGGGAATACAAAAGGGGAGGTGTGAGGAGGTCAAAGAAATAAGGAAATGAGCTGAAAGCTTATTGAAAGATGGATTTAACTTTTAACTTTTTTTCTTCCTTTTTTATTATGTGTGTTGTTGTTTTTTTGTTTTTAGTATGTTAAGTTTTGTTTTAAATCTTTTCTATTTTGTAAAACTCTACTTTGTAAACTGTTGTTTTGTGTAAACTTATGTTTTGTGTAAAACCTTAATAAATATTTCATTTACAAAAATAAAATAAATAAAAAATAAATGTTAGGGCACCAGGGGGAATTGTTCCAGTGCGCCCATTTGCAGTGGTTGGAAACAGGGAAGGGGAAGATGATGGGTATCTAAGTCTGAAATAAGTTTGATGCATCAGTGTCCGTGTGCTCACACCTGCGTTGCACAAGTACACCTGAAGATAGGGACACCCAATGCACCTAACCAGGCTCATTAACCTCAGCGATCCTAATGAAGCCATGTCTGAGCAGCCCCCATTGCTGAAGGTTCAATAAGAATAATTTCTATGCAAGGTTGAAATCTGTTTCATGCATCTTCAATAAGAATAATTGCTATGCAAGGTTGAAATCCGTTGCATGCATCAGCAATAATAAAGGTAATGCGAATAATTGCCTTGCAAGGCTGAAATCCGTTTCATATATCAGATGCACCATCGATAGCAATATTAATACTAATAATACAAAGACTCATTCGCTGCAAGGCTGAAATGCGTTTCATGCAACTTCCCCCGCGGGGCAAGCAAGGCATAGGTCTACCGAGGAGGAGGAAGACCAGCCTGGAGAAACTCTCCTGCCTGCGATCCGGAGGAGGAAGTCAGTCGGGCGGGCGGGCAGGCGGGAGACTCACCGGGCTGCTGGGAGCTGCTCCCGGCCAGCGCCCAGGCGGAGATCAGGCCCGCCCAAAGCACCCCGAGGCCGCGGCGCCCCGACGCCGGTCCGGACGCCATGGCAGCGGGACCGGGAGAGACGCCCGCCGGCTCCTTCCCGCGCCCAGAATTGAGTTGCAGCTGAAGGCAGCAAAGGGAACCGAGAGTAAGGCAAGGAATCGCTTCCGGGGTCAGCCGAGGAAAGAGCACGTGGGAAGCTTTCTTTTCGTTTTCTCTCTCCCCCCCCCCCAAATAAAAAATAAAACTGCGCTGAATGCATGACTCCGCTTCCCTGTTTTGGAAGGATTTAAAAAAAAATAATTTATTAACTTTTTATTAACTTTCTTTTTACAATTTTAAATAAACATAAATAAGCAGTCGTAGAACTTGAGAACTGGACAGGGCCCCCTAGGGCTATCTCTTCTAACCCCCTTGCAATGCAGGAATCACCGCTAATTTCTTATTAGAAAGCTGGAAAGACTACAATTGAAAATTTCTGTTGTAATATTCATAAAAGTACCATTTGTCTTTATTTATCCTCTGCTTTCTTACTCAGAAGTAAAATATTGTAGCAAAGGCTGCATGGGACACCCACCCGCCCAGCACTGCCTTATGGAATGACACGAGAATTAAAGGTCTCTGCCCCAAGGAGCAAGCTGGACAGATCATGGATACCAGTACAAAAACAAGGCCAGGGGGATGTGAGTAGAGAACATTTACTCAAAAGGAGGGATCCTGGCATTCATTTAGGGCAGGACTGCCTCACCTGCAGCCCTTCAGATGTTGCTCCCAAGGATGGAAAATGGTCCCAGAGCCCCAAATCTTATCAACATGTGGAAGGCCACTCCTGCTTTAATTCACATGGTTGCTAGTTGAGGCCTCTTGAAAAGGAAATTGGGCAAACGTGGAAGATTGAGAGGTCTATTGGGCCATGTTAGGGTTGCTGCATAAATGGAACCTCCAGCTGCAAATGCAGTCTAGAGCAATCAGTTGCTGAGGAGAGAGAGTAGAGGAGGGTTGCTGCTTTCAAATCCTCATTTGGGGTTCCAAGCAGGTTCTGATTGCTGGAAAAGCAACCTTCAGACCAGTGGCTCCCAATCTTTTTCAAGTCCCCATTGCTTCAGTTTCATAAACTCATCCCCGGTGCCCCATAGCCTACCCTTTAAAACTGTGGTTTGGGGCGGGGGGCAGCTCAGAGACCAGGGGCCGCAGCAGCAGTTGCCTGGAGGGATCCCAAGGAGAAGGGAGAGGAGAAAAGGCAGAGGGAACACTCCACAAGGGAGGATATTCGAAAAAGGGCGAGAGGCTGCCAGCTCTGCAGGCAAAGGGTGGCCTAACTGGGCTCCTGAGCCCCACAGGGGTGCCACAGAAAGAATGCAGGTGGTCAAGGGAGCTGTGGACCCCAAAAGGTTGAAAACCTCACAATCCACTAAGGAAAATAATGCTATAAAATTCAACAATTTATTCAAAATGCAATTCAAACTAGTTAAATGAACTTGACCCAGTGACATCAGCTTTCCCTCACCCCCTTAATTCTTAAGCCCCCCCCCCCCGGTAATCCCACCATCAGCTTTGAGAATCACTGGTTTAAAAATCAGCTATAGACTGTTCTTTTCTGTGGACCAAGCATGCCCTCTCCCCTTAAGCTTCCTCTCTCTGGTTTTGGGGTTCTGTTTATCTCCCATAGTCTGAAAAGAACGTTCATCCACTGACATGAGGTAATGGGTAGCAGCCAAAATTCTCTGGTAGAGTACTGTAAGGAAAGCTGTCTCCATGCCAAAGGCGGTGAGATACATTACAGAATAATCTTTCACCAGGCTCATTTGCCCACGGAACAAGATGGATAAGCGCCAGAGGACAAGATTCACCTCTGCAATTGTCTTCCCCACCAGCTAAAAATATGAACAAGACCTGAGAAAACACCCTTCTTGCTAGTGGTCAGAAGTCAACCTGGAAGGGGGGGGGGACCTGCCAGAGAGTTTAACTCTTAATCTCCTGCCAACAACACAGAGAGGAAGCCAGGAACAGCTACTGAGAACAAGAACAGACTGGCATAAATTGACATTGCTACAGTCGAAGCAGAGAGCAGAACTGTTTATTGGGTAGAAAGACAGTAACTTCAGATGTATTAAGTCAGTCAGTGCATGTAAAAAATAAATAGTAACAGAAGCTAACAATTTTCATCTGTGAGTGGCCAGAATTTCCCAAAGGCAGAGCTCCAATTCCTCGTGCTGGCCTGAAAATCCACCTAAATTGTGCAGGGAGGGATACAGGGGGACATCTTGAACTTGTTTCGGAGGCTGCTTGTTAGAGACACACTCTGCCCTCAAGCCAGCTTTTCAGCTCAGCCTTTGAGTGAAGACATCCCAGCACGCATAATTTCATCAACCAAGAGAATGTTGCTTGCAATGACGGTGCTGGAAGAGAAAACCGGGGGAGGGGGGAGAGAGAAGAGAAATTTCAATGATTGTGGAATGCAACCAACATCCTGCCTCCCTCCTTCATATTACTTCCCATACAGCCTTCTGGATATGTATGCTTCATATTTGCCACCCCATAGAAACCCACGAAAGCTTCCAAGCCCAATCATTTGTTTACTCCATCCTTTGCCAACCAGGTTCCCTTCTAGCTGTTTTGGACTACAAAAGTCTAGAGCAAAACTGTCCCAGCTTGATGAAAAGGAAGCATTACTAAGTGCAACTGGACTTGACTGCCCAACAGATCTGTGAAGGACTGCAAGCCAAGCCCTTTAAAAGCCAAGTGTTTCTTCTTTTAACTGCCAACTTCTGCTAGCTGAAAAAACGTTTACCTTGAATGAAGCAGCTGCTTTTTAACATTGTAATTATCCCAAACTCCAGCTGCAGCCGCCAACATTGGCTCACCTGGAAAACACAAGAAATAAATGTTTAAAAGGCAATGGTAATGCTGTAGCTGATTGACATACTTCGAACAGTAATGGAGACTGAACAAATTTATTCACAGGCTTGTGTGTGCTTTAGGCTGCGAAGCCTGGGTTGAATTCTGCCTTGAGCACACAAAACCTTAAGTGAAGCCTAGAGAAGCTAAATGATGACCTACATCTTATTCCAAGAGGTGTGGGGAGAGGCAACAGTGGGCTTCTAGAGGCCTTGATCAACCTTACACCAAAGAACTTCTACCATTGGCCCACCTGGTTCAGAACTGTAACCACCCTAAGTAGCTGATCTACAGCCCCTTCAGCCATTCTTGGGGCTCCTGTGAGCCCAAACAGCCACTGCTCAGAGATGTTGAGGAGCGCTGGTCCAAAACCATGGAGCTGGGGAGGAGTAAGCATCTTATGATGTTTTATAATGTTGCACTATTTTAGTGTTGTTAGCCGCCCTGAGCCCGGCTTCGGCTGGGGAGGGCGGGATATAAATAAAATTTATTATTATTATTATTATTATAAGCAACTTTTGCTCTACACAGGTTGGCAGCGGCTCTCCTTGGCTTCATATAGAGGCCTTTCCCAATCCTACCTGGAGATGGTGGGGACTGGATCTGGGATTGGACATTTGCCATAGTCCTCAATGCCCAGGTTTTCTATGGTTTAGAATTCACTGTGTTCTTTGGAGACTGGACAGTCAAGAACACCTCACACAGACCACTTTGACTCCCCCCCCTTTTTTTTAAAAGAAACCCAACCCATTTCATGCCTGCATAAAGGAAGAGCTGGTCCCCAACTGCAGCTACCAGTTCATACAACTAACCCCATCTCAGTGGTTTCCACAGGGGTAAGCATGCCAAATGAACCGGTTTAGACTGAGCTGGAATTCTGAACAGCTCTCCAGAGGCTGGGTTTTGGGTGAGTTTGTTTCTCCTTAAATAGTTACTCAGAGCCACACGAAAAATACTTTAAAGTCAAATAAGCCGTTTTGGGGGCTCCTCAGCCAACCTCTCTTCCACTTCCACCAAGTTTGAAATCCAGAAGGGCTTCCAACAACACATCAGGGTCCCAACCCTTTTTGAGATCAAGCCAACCTCTATTTTACTGCACGCGCTCCCTTACCAGAGTTGAGGTCCACACCAGTCAGCTGCCCGGACTCTGCATACTCAGCCTGAACTTTCACAAGCGTTTCTTGGGGATCATAGCCAGAGTTCTGAGCAAGTACCTGAGAAAGAATCACAATACAAAAAAAATTCAGGTTTCTCCCCACAACTGCTAACACTCATGAAACATGTCACTTCAGATTTCGATCTGTCCTCATCTTCCTTTTAACCTGCCCTTCCAGCTGCATTCTCTTCCCTCTGCAACTGGAGCACCTTTCGGAGATTTTATTGATGGTTCTCCCCTTAATCCAGCCTTTGCCAGCCTGGTGCATTCCAGATGCAACTTCCATCAGCCCAGCTGCCTTAACCACTGGGTAGAAAGCTAAGTAAATTTAACACCTTAAATTGATTTATTTTCCCATCAAGCAGACCTTTGGAATGATAAGCAGAGCATCAGCAAAAGCTTGGACTCCCAGCTGGGCTCTTCCTTTCACACTGGGCTTATGCTTCACGAGGGCATCTGCTATAGCCACCTCCACGGCTCCGGCACCTGGGACCACACATCCTGCAAAAAGGACAATGTGACACAGCATTTAAACACCGCACTGGCTTTGAATTCAAGGCAACATGTGCATCCTTTTGACTATTATATGTTTGTTCCTTTCAACTGTAACATTCTGCTGTTCATTGTTTTACAAGGGGTTGCACAGGACTGTTCAAATTACATGTTTTGGACACTCTCTATATTATTAACAATACAGAATTCGTATTCTTATTTCCACACCAACTGGGGCCTTTTGTGGGGGGCTGTCCCCCCTGAGGTATTGAACCACCACCACCATTGCTAGAGAAGATGTAACAAAATCAAAGTTTCCCCTTTTAACCCACCATGCCCTGCCCATCAAAGCCTTATTAAGTGCTTCCAATACCCACTCACCATCCTCAATGGCATTTTTGACAGCACGTAATCCATCCCGGACGGCATCCTTGATTTGTGTCAGCGTGTGCTTATTCGGCCCCTTGATCAACAGCGTCACAGAACGAGGGTTGTCGCACTTTTCAATGAATGTGAACTTCTCCTCACCCTGGGGCCAAGAAGATGAGGAAATGAATTATTTGAGTGTTATAAATGCCACCACAATCTACCAGGCTCCAGCAAAGGCAGCCCACTGACTATACTCCCCGAGACGCTTTTATTTATTTTTAACTCAGTGGTCCAAGTTGCATTTTCCAATTAACTGAGCAACAAAACTGTGTAGTACTACTTGGGGGGGGGGGGAATCTTACCACCATTTGGCAAAACTTAAGCAGGTACTGAAGCCTTCACTGATCCAGAAGGCATTAAGAGACTTCATTTGGGAGTTTCCCAATTTGCAACACTTGCCACAGAAACCAAACTGTTGCCAGGAATGTGAAAGGGGAAGGTGACACATACCAGTGTGTATTCGTAGACGAGTCCTGCATGTCCCAGGCAGTCCACAGAGAGGTCGTCCACAGAATTCATAGCAACGCCTCCACAAGCAAGGGTCAACCTGGGAGGTGGGAAAAAGTCATGTTTCAGCATTTAAGGTCACGCGGTTGAACCTAACCAACACTGATTGATTGGCTTCTTGAAAGCTGCCTGCACTATTCCGGAGGTGGTGTTGGACTCCAACCCCCACCATCCCTGACCACTGGGCCATCCCTGATGCGGGTACAACATCATCCAGAGGGCACTAGGTACCCATTCCTACTAAAGAATAAATTCAGCTTGGCTAAACACAACTAACTGGAGTCAGCAGTGCTAAGTTATATTGGAAGCAAAGATTCACTGAAACCAGTACTGATGGGTCTTCCAATTGCACTTAGAATCATGGCACAAGAGAAGTCTACCCTCCTCCCAGAGCTGCTGTGCATCACTCCAGCACAAGGAGTATCCCTTTTTGCAATTGTCTTACGGCAGTTCCATCAGGCCTTCTCTCCCCCCTGACCAGAGACCAGCTCAGCAGCAGCCAGGACAGCTGGCTCCATGTGGGAGAAGTGGGCCCTTTCCACCAACTCTGCCCAAGACCAGCTCTCTCAGGCTCTTCCTCAATTGTTTCCAGAACAGCCGATCACTGTAAGAACTACTATATGCTCAGATCTGCACTGCTTGCTGATTTGCCACCAGGCCAGGTTCTATGAGTAGACACAGCCATCAATAATTTGGGACCAATCTACTTGTAAGATTGCCTTTCTCATATATGCCCTCTTGAACTGGCACTGCTACAGGTGCCCCAAAATATCGATTCCACATTTCTAACTTCCTGATTGTTGACATCCAGCAGGTGCCTGCACTGTTGTTGTTTTTTGGCACCTGCTAAAAACATTTTTATTTACACAAGCCTTACCAAATATATAGAATACTGATTTTTTAAAAAATTTTGATTGTTTCTTTTTTACCAAAAAAAAAATCTTATTGTTTTATTCTTTTTGTAAACTGCTTTGAGATCTTGCACAATCAAGTAGTAGATAAATCTTATGAACTTTATAAAACTGGTGCCCAAGATGTTTCCTCCCACCCTTCCAGAAACTGACCTCTCCATGTTCCTTCGTTTTGCTCGGCGCAAAGCGACGATTCCTTCTTTTGCGAGAGCATCTAGGGAAAAAGGGTCAATCCCCTGAAAAAATAGAAATTAATATTATTTTGAAATGTTACAGATTGTAGTTTGAAAGGCAGCTAATGCAATGAGAGGTCTATTCTTAGAAAACTGTCCCAATCAATTCTGAGCTCCTCACTCCAACTCTCTCACCTTTTGGTTGATTACTACAAAACCTTTATTTGTCTCTCCAACCACAGTTCTTTTCAGGTCTATTATTTTCTTCACTCTATCTTCAATGAACTTCCGTTCCGCTTTAACTAGCTTCTCTCTTTCTTCTGCGCTTTTATAGAAAAATCCAGAATTCACCTCTCTGGGAACAGAAAAAATGTGATTAGAAACTCACCACAGTAAGCACAGAGGTGGAAGCAAACTCAAGTGATGCCCAAAACTCCTCCCATGAATGTGAAGACCAGACCAGCCTACAGCCAATTAAGCCTGCCACCCTCATCGCATACGTACGTTTTTTCATATTCTAGTGATACATTGCAAGTGAGAATGTAAGCATCTTCAGCTCTCTTCTTCATGTCTGGATGGCGAGCGCCGTGATCCAAGACAAGTCCCCTGATCAGCCTGTTAAGAAGAAGTTTTTATTTCACATATTACGGTATTTTATTGAGAATTTTATCCTAGGTTAATTAATTTGATATTTAATTCTGCTGGTCTAAGGAAAAGTCATATTACAAAGGAAACTCCCCTCCCCTCCAATATCATCTTTATTGCTCTTCACTGAATGTTTCCAATCCCACAGCAGGGAAACACAGAATAAAAATAAACAGAGGAAAACAATACACACTAACTACAAAATAATTTAAATATGACCAATAAACAGCTAAACAATTCTATTGTAAACAAGCAAAACTACAGCAACAACAATTAGTATTTCCAATTTAACCAAATACCAAGGTAGGAATAAAGACTTTGGGTCCCTTCCAACTCTGTGTTTGAATCATCAAATCATAAACTGATTAAACAACCTTTGTGTCCTGTTTATTCTATGCGCAGCCACCTGCTTTCTACTACCATCCTGACTCCTAATACGTGGCAAACAATTTAGACCTGTATCCTTTCCAGACTTGGGCAGGCTACCAAATATGCAGCATGCCGCTAGGAGTGTCCACAGCAGGAACTTTCATTTTGCATGGTGTCTGACTCCATTGGCCACTGTCAAAGCCAACACAGAATTCATCCATGCCCTTAAGCTTACGCCAGTTTGAATCTCACAGCTCAGAGCCTCTAACTGAGACCACTTGGAGAATGGCATCCATTGCACAGACAAAGAGGAGGCTGCTAGCCACGGCATATACGCCTTCTGTCTCTTTGCCACATGGAAAGAGTTGCCATCTCCTCAGCAGCAGAAAATGCAACACAGTGGCAGCTGTGTGATTTCCAGTAGGAAGGCAGTGGAAGAAGAAATGTAAAGAACGATTTAAAGAACAGACCCCTTCCATTGTACCTACGCTGTGTCTGTTTCAGATTTGTGCTTCATCTCCATTATCTCCACCATGTACAGGTCTATTGGTTCTTCTGGTTTTCTGATGGCCAAAATGGCATCTACGACGGCCTGGAAAGAGAAAAAGCAGCCCCCATCAAAGGCCACTCCAAGACCTAGCAAGCCTCTCCCCAAATATCTACCCTCTGCTGATGCAGTGGGAGCTGGCGGCCATAAGACTAGGAGGAAGGCCAGAACACCAATGGTAGGTGGAGCCAGAGGCAATGAGGCAGAGCCACCTCCTGGTTGGTTGCAGGTAAGAAGGCCAGCAGGTGTGGCCAGGCTGAGTAGAGGCTGGTGGGGCAACCCCCCCTCACCCTAAAGGACCAGCCTCCACTGCTGCTCTCCTTCCAATCAAAACATGAAAGCTCACCTCTTTTTCTCCTGAAGCGGAAAACTAAGAGGGCTCTTGAATGCTCACCTCTGTAAGGATATCGGCAAGCTCAGCATGGACCTTCGTGCGGAGGGAGGTCCGGGCCACGTCCAGGAGAGTCTCCCGGTCCATTTCCTTGACCACTTTGACTTGCTCCAAGACCTGGAGGGCTTTTTCCTTGGCAGCTTCAAACCCTTCCGTGACTATTCGAGGGTGCAAACCCTAACACCAAAGCAAGCAATTAAAAAAATTCTGCACACTTCCACCACCCTCTTAATATTTTCAGTCATGCGCTATTGGGCAAAGCAGGGGGGGGGGAGCATCAACCATACTGGAATCTCACAACGTAACAGATCCACAAGATCATTTAAAAACGGATTGAATGGAGTAGGGACAAGAATATACATCCTTTCCTAACTCCCCAGGTAATGAATATATCCTTATAAGCCTTAATACGGCAAAGAAGCCTTCCACAAGAGCACCATCCAATTTCTGCCATAACTTGACCCTGGAGATCAGAATCAAAACCTGCCTTTAAATCTGTGAAGGCAGTAAAAAGTTTCCCCTGCAAGAATCTTGTCAATTTTTCATCAAGGAATAAGTCTGCTCCCAAGGATCAACTGTCCTGTCCTTTTGAATACATTTGAAAGGAAGTATGTTCCTTGCAATGCAGAGGGTAAAGCACAGGTTACTCTAGCACAGAGTTATGCCAAGGGAACTACAGAGCTCACTTGGGTGTTCACCGTGCAATGGGATTTGAAGGCTCCATAAATTTTTACACAGACAACTGTTGATTACACCACAAAGAAGCAGATGTATGAAGAAAGCAGCCTCCCCCAAACTGCTGCCCTTCAGCTGTTTCGGACTACAACCCCCATCGGCCCCTGGTCTAAAGAAACATAGAAGTCCAGCTCTGAGGTAAAGATGCCAGACAGACGAGCTCCACCCCTTCCAAAAATATACATTCTAGTGTCAGAGACTACAGCAGAAATTCCTCCTGTATCATCCATTTCATCTTTATCCAAAGGCTTGTGCCAGCATCACTAAAACGATGAAACCTCACAAGTGAACTTATTTAATCTGAAAATAAAGAGTAGCCCAGCACCTAAACCCCCCCCAAAAAACAAAACAAAACAAACAGCAGAGGGCAAATAAAAAAGTAAGAAAGCTGCCACACACCTCTGAAATGTAGAGATCTGCCTGCTTGAGCATTTCCCCAATGATGAGAACATTGGAAGTTGTCCCGTCGCCAGTGATGTCATCCTGCGCTGTTGCTACTTTGGCAATCAAGGAGGCCGTCGGGTGCTGGATTTGCTGCGAGATACAAGGGGAACAATAGCTAAAAGAGTTATCCCTCATCAGTGTGCTTTCCCATCAGCCCAACACTGAGCCTTGCATACGTATTTTCAGCATCTTATGCCACGATCCGAACCAGAGAAGGAACCGGGCTTTGATGGTGAACAGTCACTTCAAAACTGCATGTTAATTTTCATATATTCTGAGGTAAACAAAGATATATCCCAATGCAACCATGTTAAACAGTTGAAAGAGGAAAATGAATGAAAGCTATGTTCCAAAGAATAAAAAAAGACACACCCTAAGAGTGATCCTTCAAGAAGATCTGCCCTTCCCTAATCTGGAGGAGCCTTCCAGTTATTGTTGGGATCCCCATCATCATCCCCAAATGTTGACTGTGGTGGCTGATGGGAGGCAGAGCTCAGCAGCAACTGAAAGGCTGGACAAGACATCTGGGGTTGTACCCAACTAAAGTCATATGCAATTAAGTTACTGATATCAATGGATCTAAGATTATCAATTTAAATGGGTGCACTCTGAGGACTTAGTTGGATACACCTCATGGTTTTAAGGTTGCCTATAATCTTCCAAGTTATGAACCTCTGATGGGCAGTTATGTTCAACCTGCTGCCAATTCTTCATGCCTACAGTTACCACCACAAACCTCCAGATTATGCCAATGTTACGTTCTTAGTGGACTCCAGGGGAGAAAAGAACTCACCATCTCGTGAAGCAAGACGTTGCCATCTTTGGTAAGTTTGATATCTCCAGCACCAGACACAAGCCTGTGTGGGGACAGAGCACAGCCATCAACCCTCTGGTCCCAGCCTCCTCTTGCTGAGGACAGGAGGTGATTATAGCAGAGTCATACCTGCTGCAGCCAGCATATGCAAAATGACTCATTTTTTAGGTAAAGGGATCATGCCACAACCAGATACTAGTCCTTCTTTTGGGAAGGATGAGGAGCAATGTTGGAGCTGCTTCTAAGCACCTCTGCCTGCCCACTTGTGAAAGGCCAGGTGGGTTCTTGTAGCTGCGTACAAGATGAACCCTGCTGGTTCAGACCAAAGGCCTATCTAGGACCAGCATTCTGTTCAAACCATGGCTAACCAAATGCCTCTAGCAAGCCTGAAAGCAGGATATGAATACAAACAGCCTCTCCCACTCATGATGCCCTAGCAATTGGTATTCAGAGGCATAGTACACCAATACTGGAGGTAATATGCAACCACGGACAGGCTTATCCTCTATTTTGGGAAAGGCTAGCCAAAAATTGCTGCCCTCCACTCAGTACGTAAGAAGCTGTCTTATAGCAAGTCAGGACATTTCTCCATCTAGCTCAATTGTTGACGCTTACTGACAGCACCTCTCCAGTTTCAGACGGGGATCCACTCCCCCCCTGCCCCACCCAAGATCCATCAACAAGACCCTGCTGCAAAAGACATACATTTAGAATTAAGTAACTAGAAGACTAGGCAGCTAGCAGTAAGTATACTGCAAGTTGCTCAGAGATAAACTTTATGCCCACCCCTGTGTTGTGTGTGTGTATACACATACATACACACACAAATGAAAACAAACAGGCCCAGGTTCCTTTCCTGATTTTCTTTGCAGCTGCTTTGCCTCACCAAACAACAGATGACTCCAGTACTCTTAGGAGTTGTGCAAGACAGAGAACTCATGACACATTTGAATTATCATCACATATGGTCAAGTCATACTATGGATGCATCAAGCCCACTGCTGTCTCATCCAAATGGCAGCAGCTCACAAAGAAGAGATTTGTAATTGTGAATGGAAGTCCAAGATGAGATAAGTCTGTGGTACCAAAACAAATTATTTGGCTGAGCACATGCTCAGATACACCCTGCTCCTTAACTCTAGGTGTACAGCTCAGCCTGCACCATCATTTTGTTCTGGCTCTATAGCTTGAGGATCTCAATGCTAGATAGTAAAAATCTTAAGCAAATCCATCAAGCCTGAAAGCATATCCACAGCCTATCTATTGCTGCTGTGGGCAATAGAGAGCCTGGTAGGCTAATGGCTGACTCTGCTTCACCTCATACCCCCAGGTTAGTGGCAGATGCCATAGTATTACAGTTCAACATTTCGGGGGGGGGGGAGATTAGGAATCAATCAATAACGATAGCATTAATGACGAGTTGGACAATGGGAACCCAGCCAGATGGGCGGGGCATAAATAATAAATTAGTATATATTATTACTCATTTTCCTCCAGAGCAGACCCACTAAAATTAATGGCCTACACTAGTTGTGCCATTACTGTATTATTATTACTATTTTTATTTATTACTCGCTCTTCACCCGAAGGTTCCTCTGGGCGGCTTACAACATTAAAGCATAGTATTTAAATCATCTTAATTCCAATGGGTCTACTCTGAGCAGGGCTAACCAAATCATTGTACACATGCACACGCTGGTCTAGACTAGAGTCCCTAGCCGGCTCGGGGTTCACTGGCACGCTCTGCGCACGCGCCGCCATTTCCGCCCTCGAGCGCCACGCGGGTGGGCTGAGATCGACGTGGCCACGCCCATCCCGGCATCCACGCTCCTTCCCCTCCCCCCCCCCGCGCCCACCGGCCTCCCCCATCCCCCCAATTCTTCCCCTCTCCTCACATCTTCATGGTTCCTTTAGGGCCGAGGTTGGTCCTGAGCACGTCCTGCAGGCCCCGCGCCGCGCTGATGTTGACGGCCAGAGCCGCCTGGGCCCTCGCCACCTCGGCCTTGGGGTTCAGCGCCTTCACCGCCATGTCGGCCGCCCGCCTCGAGGAAAAGGAAAGGGAGTGATAAGAGAAAGGGGCGTCCCCGCGCATGCGCAGGCGCCGACAGGGCGGGGGTTGTGGCGTCCTAGCCCCTTCTAGAATACTCCGCCGTTTCGGGGGCCCGCCTCTCAGCTCCCATTGGTCCGGCGTACCCGTCGCTCAGGAGGAAGCCGCCTCGGCCGCAAACGGTTGGCGGCCTGGATGGCAGTTAGAGACGGTTGCTATGCAAAATCGTGGCAGGCCTCGGCCCCGGCGTTGGCAAAGTAGGCCATGAATATGCATAAGCGCCTCATGCTATATTCATGATGTCTTACTCTGAGGCAAATTAAGTGTTTCCCTTTAAGGATCTAAATAATTTTATATAAATAATATAAATAATTCATAGCACTAGTATTTATTTTTAACCTATGTTTAGGTCACCTAAACCTCACCTCCTCCTCACCTCCTTCAATATAGATACAGATAGATATAAAACGCAGTACTGATATACATTTTTTAATGAAATACACAAAAATATGTATAACATAATGATTTAATATATAGTATCTTATACATCATGCTATGTCTATAATTAGTTGGGCATATTACTACATAATATGTTATATAAAGTATTTAATGTATTGGTGTAGCACGTAACACTTTTTAAATCCTACATTGATTAAATACTAGAATTACGGGTTATATGTCTAATTTTATTTATTTGCAATTATTTGTGACCCACTCGTTCTCTGATAAGTAAAAACACAACAAAATACCAAATAATTGAGAGTGGTGAAACTCAGGAGCAGTCCAAACAACTTGTGTCATTTTAGATCAAGGGTAAGTATGTATATTTTAACTTTTCCATCTGGCTTTCTTTATCAGCTAAATTTGCATCCTGATTGTTGAGCAGGGTCTCCAAAGGAACTCACAACAGCATTTCTAACAGCATTATTGATTTACTTAAAATGTTTCTGCCCTGCAGTTCATTGTGAAGGTGGTATGGAGAATGAAGAATTCAGAAGGAATTAGAAAGTGGACAAGCAGACAGTCTGAAAGAGTGTTTCAGTATGTAGAACCATGTGGCTTCTTGGGATAGAAGCAGCACAATGCAAGGATGTGAATTGGCAGACAGAAAGGGAAGGCTTTGAGAGCCTCATAAGGACAGAACTGAGCCCTAGGATTACAATACTGACCATTGAGGAAATCCGCAAGATACACGCCCTCAGGGAATCTGTTTTTCCCGGCCAACGCACCAAGAAATGTAGCCTTATGAGGCTTTGCCCTCGGGTGGGAAAAATATTGCGCCTGGGAAAGGGAAGTGGGAGTCAACAGACACTCAAGGAATAGTTTCGGAGAAAAGGCTTTTATTTCTACCATCCATGAACTGGTAGAAGGAGCAAGTGTGATAAGTCACAAAAAACCTGCACGAAGTTCACAATCATGTGCACAAGCATATATATCCCTTCCATGTGGCAGCAGAGTTAAACTGTGGAAGTCACTCCAACAGGAGGTGGTGATGGCCACCAGCTGAGATGGCTTTAAAAGAGGACTGGACAAATTCGTGGAGGAAAGGGCTGCCAATGGCTACTAGCCACAATGGCAGATCCTCCCAAATGTCCTTGTTTTCTAGGGATGTCACTGATTTAGAGAAACTGTCCAGGTTTCTGATTTGATCCCAGAATGTCCCACTTTTCCTTAGGATGCCCCTATTTGTTGGAAGGTATGGAGTTGTCTGACCCCCTGAGCCGTCTGAAGGCAATCCTGTACTGCATAGGGAAGGTTTTTTTAAAGGTTTAATGTTTTATTATGTTTTTATATATGTTGGAAGTGGCTGGGGCAACCCGGTAAGATGTGTGGGGTATAAATAGTAAAATTATCATTATGGAATGGGACATCCCTATTTCCATCGGAGAAAAGTTGGAGGGTATGCAATGGTTCTTCTCTGCCTCCACTGTTGGAGGGATCAATGCTTCTGAATACCAGTTTCTGGAAACCACAGGGTGGGAGAGGGCTTGTGCTGAGGTCCTGCTTGCAGGTTTCTCACAGGCATCTGGTTGGCCACTGTGCGAACAGGATGTTGGACTAGATGGGCCCCTGTGGCCTGATCCAGCTGCATGCTTTACCCCCAAAGAATTCTGGGAACTATAGTTTGTTAAGGGCGCTGGGAATAGTAGCTCTCCAATTGATAAATTTCAGGATTCTTTGGGAGGAAGTTGATTGCTTTAAATGTAGGGTGTGGATGTGGCTTTAATACAGTGGTACCTCAGGTTACATACGCTTCGGGTTACATACGCTTTAGGTTACAGACTCCGCTAACCCAGAAATAGTACCTCGGGTTAAGTACTTTGCTTCAGGATGAGAACAGAAATCATGCTCCGGCGGCGCAGTAGCAGCAGGAGGCCCCATTAGCTAAAGTGGTGCTTCAGGTTAAGAACAGTTTCAGGTTAAGAACGGACCTCCGGAACGAATTAAGTACTTAGCCCAAGGTACCACTGTAGTCCCATTTTGGCACCAGTCCTGTCAGCTCTCACCATCTGAGGTCACTAGCAGAGGGTGTGATGTTTTAGAGATGTTTTTCACAGCAGATATTAATATTTAATATCTCATAAAGTAATATTCAACTTTTCTATAGCAGGTGTCAGTGTACACATTTTTAGCAATTTCCCGTATACTTTCAGCTTAGAATTCCATCGTGGTCCCTTCATGGTGTGATGTGCTTCAAGAAAAGAGGAAACAGGTACCAAAATCTCTCTTTCTAACTTTTCAGTAAGTTACATTGGTTACATTTTTATAGACATTTATTTCTTTTGTTTTTGCCTTTGTTTGTGTAAAGGCTGTGTAAAGGCTTTGTGTAAAGGCTTCGTGTAAAGGCTTTGTGTAAGCAACCCTGTAAAGTTAGCTACTGTTGTTATGCCCATGGATCAGGAATAGGAATCCTATGGCTCTTCAGGAACTGTTGGACCATTTTTCTTAATCATTGGTCATGTTGGCTGGAGGTGAAGGGAGTTGGTGTCTGGAAGTCCACAGGTTAGTCTCACCTGTGATAAAAGCTTTGTAAAATTAACTTAGATTCATTGCCATTCAGTTGGGCCTCATTCTGAGTCAACATGATTGCAGTTGGGATGTTTGACTAACTTAGAAGGAAGATTTTTTTCCAGGATGTGGTTGATGTTTTCCTAAACCACTTGAAGGGAAGCTCATACATAATTTTCCTTGCCCTACCAATCTGTAAACTGCCCCCACATATTTGTCTATGATGGGCACTGGGTTTATCTGCACTGTGTGTATAGCCAACCAGTAGAGGGCAATGCAGCCATACCCAGTCAGGAAGTTTGTGTTCATACAGTACTTGGTTTACTGCACACTTACTGCGCTTCCTGTGCTGGGTTTTTAATGTATGTTCACATGAGGTTGTCCAAAATGCAGGTTGTTATAAGATACTACTGCTTGATGCTCTTTTTCTCAAACCAGCTTCGTGATTGCTGGAATAGCCCAACTGGTAGATTGAGCATGAAACTATAATCTCAGGGTCGTGGGTTCAAGCCCTACGTTGGGCAAAAGATTCCTGCATTGCAGGAGTTGGGACTAGATGACCCTCACAACATTTTCTAACTCTACAATTTTATGATTCTGTGATTCATACCAGTTGTAATCCTGTAAGCCATTCATCTCTCTTTGCATAGGGAAAAACATCAGTGTCCTCTAGGTTGCTAATGTGAACACTCCCTTAGTCAGACCATCATATCCCTCTCTTATAATACTAGAACTCAGTGGAGCCATTCAATGAAGCTGAATGTTGGAAGGTTTAGAACAGACCAAATGAAGTCTTTATACATGCAGCACATAGCTGAACTATGGAACAAACCCACTCTTGCAGGAGGCAGTGATGACCACCAACTTGATGGCTTTAAAGCAGGATTGGACAAATTCATGGAGGAAAGGGTTATTGTCTTTAGTGATCACTCGTAGCCGAGTAAGATTGTCTTCCATGAACATGGTCTTAACGGCGTGTCCATAAGTGACTGTGGAGGTCAGTTCTGGATCCACACCTCCTTCCACAGTGGGGGCATAGGTTTCCGGGTGGGAGTTGATCATGGAGAGGGCTTGCCAAATATGCCTTCCTCTTAGTTCGTTTCTCACTTTTGTCCTGAGTTCGAGAGTCTTCAAAATCCATGGGTAAAGGCTGTTGTCCAACTGGAGCACTAACAGGCCAGTGTTTTCCAATTGTCAGTGTTTATACTACATTTTTGGGACGCGGGTGGCGCTGTGGGTAAAACCTCAGCGCCTAGGACTTGCTGATCACATGGTCGGCGGTTCGAATCCCCGCGGCAGGGTGCGCTCCCGTCATTCAGTCCCAGCGCCTGCCAACCTAGCAGTTCGAAAGCACCCCCGGGTGCAAGTAGATAAATAGGGACCGCTTACCAGCAGGAAGGTAAACGGTGTTCCGTGTGCTGTGCTGGCTCGCCAGATGCAGCTTGTCACGCTGGCCACGTGACCCGGAAGTGTCTGCGGACAGCGTTGGCTCCTGGCCTATAGAGTGAGATGAGCGCACAACCCTAGAGTCTGGCAAGACTGGCCCGTATGGGCAGGGGTACCTTTACCTTTATACTACATTTGTTTAGATTTGCCTTGAGAGAGTCTTTAAACCTCTTTTATTGACCACCAACATTATGCTTTCCATTTTTAAGTTTGGAATAGAGTAGTTGCTTTGGAAGATGATAATCCGGCATCTGAACAACATGACCAGTCCAACGAAGTTGATGTTGAAGAATCATTGCTTCCACATTGGTGATCTTTGCTTCTTCACATTGGTTTGCCTGTCTTCTCAAGTGATATGTAAAAAAATTTGGAGACACTCTTGATGGAATCTTTTGAGGAGCTGGAGATGGCATTTATAAGTGGTCCACGTTTCACAAGCTTACAATAAAGTTGGTAGTACAGTAGTTTTGTAAACAAGCATTTTGGTTTTCCTGCAAATGTCCCGGTCCTCAAACACTCTGCACTTCAGTTGGGAGAAAGCTGCATTCACGGAGTTCAGGCAGTGCTGGATTT